ACATCACAAAGAAAATAAAGCGTGCAAACTATATGTGAATTGTGATAAAAAGGTGTATATACACCTTGAAGTTGCAGCAGAAAATAGCACTTTTCTTTCAAAATAGCAGCAGAATAATTACACTGTAAATAACTGTGTATACCCCTTTAATTAAGTGCAGTAACACAACTCTGACCTGCACATTTATCTTTTTTCACTCCTCTACTTCCACTCGATCTCATCCTAGACCCCATTCATATAAAACTCACTCACACCTCCCGTCACTATCTCTCCTCCTCCTTCTAGCAGCTAGTGATGTCTTCCCCAACCCAGGGCCCTTTACCTTCTATACGCACACTAAAACAACCAAAACCCACACAAACCTCATTCTTGGCTATTCATGAGCACTTTTCTTCCTGGCTACCTCACTTCATCTTCTCAAGCACTTCTACCCTTTTTCTTGAGTATTTCAATATCCCAATCAGCAATCCCAACTGCACTGATGCCTCTAATCTGTCCTCCGTATCGTCCTCATTTGGCCTCACGCAAGTTCAGCAACACTCTTGATTTTGCCATCACCAATCGCTGTACTGCCTCTAATCTCTCCAATATTCCTTTTCCTCTATCTGAACACCATCTACTGACTTTTGACATCAGCATACCCAGTACCCAAATGCCCTAGCTCTGCAACCTCCTTCTACAATTCCACCCTCCCCTCTCAACTAGACATCATGGCACCTGCTACATTTAAATGCAGCAAACGCCCCTAATTACAGCCTTGGCACACAAAGCTGACCAGATACCTCCAAAAATGTTAAAGAACTGCTAAACGCTGCTGGAGAAAGTCTCTTCTGACTTTCTCCACTGATGCTGAAGAGGAAAGAGCCTTGCTCTTTCCTCTGTAAAAGAAAATTACTTCAATATCCTCATAACCACACTCTCCCGCAGACCCAAACGACTATTTCACACTCTTAACCCTCTTCTAGGGGAAAGTCAGTTGATAGTTACCAGAACGTTACCGCCATTACCCGTGACTTTGAGAACCAGCTTCCGTTGTTCCACCTGATGGATAACCAGTCTAGAAATTAAGGGTGATCTTGTTTGTGAAGTGAACATCCAAACTTTGCGATTCATCCTTCTGGCCATCAAGATCCACATATGGATTTCCAAATCTTCTGGTGAGAACTGCAAACTGGTCCATTTTGCTTGTGACCATTTTGACCTGCTCAGCTCGTCTGCTACTATGTTGTAGTTCCCCCTTGTGTGTGTAGCAGCCAAGTCTTCCAGCTCTTTCTGAACCCATAGACAAATTTCTGAACAGAGAAGATGAAGGCTTTTTATTCTCGTTTCCCCTTGCCTGTTCAAATAAGCAACTGTTGTGTTGTTGTCGGATTGTATTCTTTGCCAGAGATCCAAGTTTTGAAATGAAGTAGAGCATGAAGGACGGCTTTTAATTTAGTTTGACGATTGGCGAGAGTTTTTGTGGACCAGATACCTTGGCACATATGGGATAGAAAATGAGCACCCCAAACTAGTTGAGAGGCATCTGTAGTCAAAATTAGCCACTGTTTGAAAGCCAAACTTTTTGATAGGAAGCTTGATTTTTTCCACCATATGATCTGACCTTATAAGAAAGATAAATTTCCAAATCTAGATCGTCTTCTCTTTTCGACCACTTCTCTAGAATTTCCCATTGTAGGTGTCTCATTGCAAACCTTGACCATTTTACTCTTGGAATGGAGGATGTCAAGACTCCCAGGACACCCATACCCCTCCTGATTGAACACCTTTTGTTCTTGTTGTAAAAAAGATACTTCTCTTCTTCTCTTTCTTTTTCTCTCTGGAGTCAGGTGTAATGAGAAGGCCTTTGAATTTATGATAAATTCCAGAGTTCCTAGGAGAGCTTCTGTTATAGGACAAAGATGTTCATTTTTTTTTTTTAAATTGATAACCCAACGATGATGTTCTAGGAATATTATTGTTGTCCGAACGTGAATCTTCAGGAGTTCTTTTTGACTTTGCTGGCTATACCTTTTTCCCTTAAGGCTACAGTAATGGGAGCAAGGATTTTTGTGAAAATTCTTGTTGCTGAGGTTACACCGACTGGCAATGCTTTTGAATTTAAAATGGTGAAGTTTTCATCCTACTGTTATGGCTGATAAGAATCTTCTTGACGCTAGAGCCATAGGAAAGTGCAAGTAAGAGTCTTTGAGATCCAGGGTAGCCATGAAGTCCACTTTCTGCAGGATATTTGTAGCCAATAGTAAGGACTCCATATGTATTTTTTGGTATGGGATGAGCTGGTTTAAATTTTTTAGATCCAGAATCGGCCGCAGTGATTAATCCTGTTTTGGAACTAGGAAGAGACGAGAAAATACGCTTTGAAATTCTTGCTTCTTTGGGACTTTTTCTATCACCCCCTGTGCCTTGGCTTTTCTGTAAATGTAATATTGTAGCCCTCTGCAATGATGCCCAACACCCAAGGATTTTGTGTGGTCTGCCCCCATGCCTGATAAAATTGCAGCCTGCCTCCCACCCTCCTGCCATCAAAACCACCTCTTTATCTTGTCGACCGGTCTTGTCATCAAGTCTGGAATCTCCAAAATTTTCTGAGTCAGTCTTGATACCCATAATGTTTGCGAGTGTGAAACTGGAAATTCTTATCAGGCTTTCAAGATAATTTTGTATCCTGTGGAAGAGCCTTTTTAATTTCAGACATTTGCCTGATTTCTTCCAGAGGTGTTCCGAAAAGTTTTGAACTTTCTAATAGTAATTCGCACAGTGCTGATTTGGAGGCAGTACCAGCCGACCAAGACCATGAAGACCTCCTGGCTACAGAAGAAAGACCCATGATACATGCTGCTAATATGAGGATTCCTTTTGACAAATACCTCAAGAATTCATTACTTAACTTCAAGTTATTCATGATATGGGCTAAATCCTTGTCAGTGTCTTCCATCAAACAATCCTCCAGAGATTAAGTCCCAAAATGTTGGGCTTTAAGGACAGAAGCCCCTGCTAAGGCTGCATTACACTGAAAACTGGCTCATTAGAAGGCACCTACGAGAAGTCTGTCCGTTTGTCCATTGGGTCTTTAAGGAATAGTTGTCTTTTTTTTGAGAGCTGAGCTACCTGATATGCACCTGAGAAAGACCTATCTTCACATGGTCGAAACGCTTTGTGCTCACTTTATTATTTTTTGTTAAAATAAGTTTAAATTTATCCTGCATTTGGTTCCTGAAATCAACTACTTTCTTCACCTCTGGGGGACATGAATCTGCCTGTGTGCCTGCATATAATTGATGAAACCGCTATTACAGTTCAGAGCCGACTTACATGGGCTTTAAAAATTGTGAGTGTTCCAATTATCTTCTTAACTCTAGTTTTATATATACATACTGTCCTATGAAGATTCTTTATAATCACAGCATATTGGTATCTTGTACCAAGTACCAGAAAAATTATCAACCATTGTGTGCGCAACCACCTTATTCCTGTTCCACCTGTATGTCTACTTTAGGTAATTCTTCCCACTTATTACTTCGGATCTTGAAAAAAGGTTTTTAAAGTGTCTGTAAATTAAAGCTCTTGTTTCTAGACTTTTCCACTCTATGTACATCAAGCAGAACATTTTTTTCTGAAAAGGAAAACCTTTTTACTTGGATTTGGAAGGTAAATCTTCACTCAAAACTTAATTTCTTTCATAACCTTCCTTAGTTCCTCTGGTGGGAATCCCATCTCCACTCTAGATTACAAACTAGAAGTTTCAGAGAAAACTGATGCTGAGCATTCTCCTGGGGATAGTTCCGAACTGGATGAAGATCTCCTTTTGTGTTTATCAGCTGCTACATGCGCATATACTGGAATATTTGATCTTGCTGTTGACTTAAAAAGGTTTGGGCCAAGTTAACTTGGATCCAAGAGAGAAAAGACTGCAGGCATCCTGTCTTTCAATTTTGTCATGAGCAACAGGATTTGACATTCAGAGAGAGAGATTTGTTTTTAAAAAAATCCATAATCTAGAATTAAATAGATATTTATAGACATAAGACAAGACCTATTTCACCTCAAAAACCTCAGAGCCGTGTGGGCGGCTGGTGACATGGCAGACCCAATCTGAACAGAATTCTGCTGACAGGAGGGCCTAGCACAGCTTAAATAGCACCAGAATGTAAAATTTTGCAGCAAAATGTGAAGTTCCAAACTACACATGTGCAGTCGGAACTACGGTGGAACGCAAGGCCTCCCGACATGCGTTACACTGCTGTGCGCATGTGGTCAGCCTGCAATGCGAAAGGTGCGCCACCTGGACCACCAAAACAAAATTGCCGGGACAACCATCAGCATAATCTGTTGGACATGGCGAGGCACAATGGATGTTGTCAGGGGGAAATTGGTCCAATAGCTGCCCGGGTGGTAAGCTGAGTAGCCTGAGCGAACAGAGTCAGGCTACTCAGCTTACCACATGGGCAGCTATTGGACCAATTTCCCCCTGACAACATCCATTGTGCCTCGCCATGTCCAACAGACTACCTGTCCATCCCGGGCTGTGACGAGAAGAACTGGGTTAGTAAGGTACCATTTGTAATATATAGGGTGAGTGGGAGGAGCAATTTGTAATCTTCATTTTTTTTCAGGCTACTTGTCCCAGCATTTGGAAGTATAACCCATCTGTGTACTGCCACCTTATGCTAGGAAAAATATTTTAACAATGTTGCAGTAAAATTAGGCAAATTGCAGGCATAGTTGTCCATGAATTAGGGATCCTGAGATACAATGTATACTCAGACCTTATTCAGCCCTAAGGCCAAAATGGAACACCTGCTTGAAATGGATTGCCTAGTGACTAGGAGCATTGCATCTCTGTAGCAAGATTTTCTCAGTGGTATGCTAGGTCCTGGTATACATGAATGTTTATACAATTTCATTACTCTATACAATAATTATTACAATAGTTTGACTATTGAAAGTTACCCTTTTTATTCCAAAATATATTAAGTTACAGTAGTATCTCACTTTACGGTACTAATATGCTTCACTAAGACGACTTTCAATTATGTTCAGTTGATGAATCTTAAAGGAACATTATGCTGGCACCTCTGCACTGTAAATAGTCAAACCGTTTTATAATATTTTGACTACTTACTTAAGCTTTCTTACCAACACGTCCAAAGACACGGTTACAAAGTTCTTATACATTAATATGCAAATCAGAGTGCACAGACAATAAGAGTGAATGGGTGCAGTATTAGTCTCTAAATCATGGATAAAAAAAATAAAAAATAATTTCTTAAGTATGCACTGAAATACATACAAACATCACCAATATTTTAATAGCTGCCTTGTCCTAAATATACAAAACTTTGCAAGGATTCCTCAGTTAATTAAATTATTTAAGTTGTGGAAGTATAGGTATGAATCATTGTTAAATAAAAGTAACAAATAAAAAGGCTGCGCCACATAAAATATTAAGAGAAAATAAAAGTCAAAGTAATAAAAATGTCCAATTTGTATGTCCTTACTAATAGTCTTTATAGGAGGCTGGTACTGTGGTAGGATCTTCAGATATAGTGGTTCAGCTTATATAGAAGATAAGAGAGGGACAACCAATAGTGCAATATGTATAGCTCAATTGTGGACGTAATAAAAAACAATGGTAGAGGACTCACATTTACAAGAGCTTATATCCAGCTCTAGGGTAAAGCGCGTACAGCGGTATAATCCCTGCTTATGGGATATATGGTACCTCTCCGTCAGTGGTGTCCGGTTCTCAAGAAAGAAGAAACAGCCAATAGTGCTCACTGTATAGTAATTTGGGTATAAATTAAATAAAAACTTACTTACAAGTAAAGAGCAGGCGGACTGCTCTGTGGTATCAGCATAAGTGGATTAATCCCCACCTAGGATTTCTTGGGATGCAGGAAGTGTAAGATAGTTACATAGCTGAAAAGAGACTTGCGTCCATCAAGTTCAGCCTACCTCACATTTGTTTTTTGCTGTTGATCCAAAATAAGGCAAAAAACCCCAGTTTGAAGCACAATTTTGCAACAAGCTAGGAAAAAAATTCCTTCTTGACCCCAGAATGGCAGTCAGATTTATCCTTGGATCAAGCAGTTATTACCCTACATTGAAAGATTATATCCTTGAATATTCTGTTCTTGCAAGTATGCATCTAGTAGCCGTTTGAACATCTGTATGGACTCTGATAAAACCACTTCTTCAGGCAGAGAATTCCACATCCTGATTGTTCTTACAGTAAAAAAACCTTTCCTTTGCCTTAGACGAAATCTTCTTTCTTCCAGTCTAAACGCATGGCCTCGTGTCCTATGTAAAGTCCGGTTTGTAAATAGATTTCCACACAATGGTTTGTATTGGCCCCGAATATATTTGTATAATGTTATCATATCCCCTCTCAGGCGACGTTTTTCTAAACTAAATAGGTTTAAATTTGTTAACCTTTCTTCATAGCCGATATGTTCCATTCCTTTTATTAATTTTGTAGCCCGCCTCTGCACTTTTTCTAGTGCCATAATATCCTTCTTGAGAACAGGTGCCCAAAATTGCACAGCATATTCAATATGGGGTCTTACCAGTGATTTATAAAGAGGCAAAATTATATTCTTGTCCCGAGAATGAATGCCCTTTTTCATGCATGACAATACCTTACTGGCCTTGGCCACTGCTGATTGACACTGCACATTGTTGCATAGTTTGTTGTCTATAACAATTTCCAAGTCCTTTTCATGTGTTGTTATCCCTAATTCGCTTCCATTAAGGGTATACGTTGCTTGTGTATTCTTTACGCCGAAGTGCATAACTTTGCATTTTTCAACATTAAATTTCATCTGCCATTTGAGTGCCCAGTCCCCCAGTCTATCTAAATCCCTCTACAGATGAAATGCAGTATCTGCTGCCGGGGAAACGCAAAGATTCAGAACGTTCTAACTTGTTGCCTTCAGAGAATGAACCACTTGCACTATTGGTTGGCCCTCTTATCTTCCATATAAGCGGAACCACTTTATCTGAAGATCCTACCACAGTACCAGCCTCCTATAAAGACTATTCGTAAGGACGTACAAATTGGACATTTTTATTACTTGGACTTTTATTTTCTTTTAATATTTTATGTGGCGCAGCCTTTTTATTTGTTACTTTTATTTATCTTGTTTTAAAGGGTTCTTGAGGGATTCTCCTTTAACGGTTGCTGCCTATAAGTTGACCAGCGCTGTCTCATCCATTCACTATTTCTATGAATCATTGTTAGCTACCGGATGGAAAGTTTAACAAAAAATTTCAATCTCTCAAACAAAGATGAAACAGAGTTGTTGCTTTATAAAAAGTCACCTGTACTTTCTTCATTTCAAGTAAGGTCTATGTAAGGTCATGCGTAGATATATTATGAGGACAATAGCTAATTTGGGATATTTGTTCTGCCCTTATTGCATTTGATGATTGCTTTGTTATATTACTTCATTTATTGCCTTGTTTAATTAAATGTACAGTTAAATGTAAAGTTGAGTTTTGGGATATACTGTTCTCATTGATGACTTGTACACTGTGTATTTCAAATTGGAAATAGAAGTTTCATTATCAAGATCTGCAAAAAAAAAGTTTGAACAGTTCCTATTGAAAATAATTTTGTGCAGTAATGTTTATTCACATGTCTTGTTTTTTTCATTAGGCTCATTAAAGAAATGAATACGAAAGAAACTTCATTGCAATTGATCGCACCTTTGATGAGCAGATATTAAAGAGTGATATTGCCTAAGCAATATAAGTTTCAGAGCAGAGAAACGGTGTTAAAAAATTTAATGTGTACAATGTCTGAAACATAAGCAGAAATGAATAGGGCAAAACATTTTACTCACCAAAAATTCTCTTTAACATGGTTTAAGTGGCAGTACAACTGAGTTTTCTCCCATCTCATTAACAGGGCAAGGAGACATAAAAATACAGAGAGGTCCAGACTATCTTCCCCTAGTATATAAGAGAGCCAGCCCAGAATGTAAAATGCCATACAAAGTAGACTTTAAAAGAAATACTTTTAATAAAGGGGCGGGTAGTTCTACTGTTTGCACTATTTGAGTAAAATGTGTTTTCCCCATACATCATTTACACAACAAGCTACAGTGATGGGGAAGACATCACTGTCTCACCAGGATCTTGCATTCTGTATTCAGAGGCTAGAACATCCAGTCTATAATGTTTAGCTAATGTGTGAAGAGAAAGCCAAGTTGCAGTGGCTGCCTCTGATGTAGAAACAGCAATTGTAGAATGTGCTTTAATAAATTCTGAAAGTTGTAACATATGCGATTTTTATAGTGGTTAACCTAAGGTTTGGACTAGCTCTGTGAGCCAGTATCTTTATTCTCTTAATTAGAGTTAAACTTTACAGAGGGATAGTCAAATATACACACATAGCACAGCTAAAATTATTTAAATAAGAAAATCAGATTCTGGAAGAAACAAGATTCAATGAGTGAAAACCGCATGCAAATCCAATTCGTTTCCATATTTTGAGTTATTTATATATTATATATACACATTATAAATATACATGCAATGCATTAAAAATGTGAGATGTCTACATATACAAAACCCAATCCACCTATTACAAACTGGCTTTTGTTTCCTTCTTTTAAACCTTTAACAAACACTAAAGAGCATTTCAGTACTTTACTCTTACATCTATAGACAATGCAATTTGTGATCATCAATAAAATACTGTTAACTATAAACAAAAACAAAATCTGTAACGGGTTTTACAGTTTAGGAAACACTTTGTTCCCACTCATAGCACAAGGGATAAGAAGTTTTCTATATTCCAGTGGTAAGTATTTCTCAATAAGGACAGTGAGAGGAATTGTATCAGTTACCAGGCCATGCCTATAAAAGAGAAAAGAAAGAATGAAGTCAGATTTTGCCATTTTTTTTGCAGCCATATTACAAAAACAATGACAGCAAAACTCAGATTTTAAGAATATTATGATTGCGTTGATATAGTAAACTAGTCTGTACAGATGTTAACATATCATTAATAATTGAATGTCGGATTGTAACCGACTCAACAATCAAGCAGTTCCATTATGGAAACATGGATTTAAAATAAATTATTAATTTAAATGCTTTAAGACCACTACATTGCCAGTATGGGCCCAGTCTGGATTCTCCTGTTACTACTGGGAGCAGAATAATGATTTAGTACATGGTGCACTTGGTCAGCCTGTGAGAGGAGTTGGCCAGGTGGGGAAAACAACACAGACGTAATTCTGACGGCATCAATGCATTTATTGTTCAACATTTTTTGAAAGATTGGCCACAGCCAGATCCTCACTAGAGGTATGTGTAAGGCAGAGGTTATACTCTTCCATAGCCATGTCAGGTTTTCACAGCCAGCCATAGCTGGTATGAACTGAGTGTTCAGCACCCCATTTCAGCAAATCATTGTCCATCGCTGCTTGGACTAATGCTTCCTCACAATCCCAAGCAGCACAGAATACTATGGCTGCCAAGGATCTTCATTTAGTGTTAACCCATGCAAAAATGGTGGAATGGCAGCTGGGGACTCAAGGCACTATAACCACTGCATTGAAATGAAGTGGTTACAGTACCTAGTGTGGCTAACATAGTTTTTTTTTTTTGTTTTTTTTTTTAAATTTATGTACATTTTTCTAAATCTTTGCCCTCTTAAATACGTGTACTTTAGGGGTTTCAAAGAATCTTTAGTAACAGATTGATTGGAATATAAGATTGCAATGTGAAAGGGAGAGGATAGAAGAGGATTTAGATGAGGAAAATGTGTCTTCTTAGTGATCTTTCCTAAAGTTAGACGTTCTACAATGCTTATAAACTACACAATTTCAATTTGTGCTTAGCACCCAATTTGTGCTTGTTCCTACATCCTCACTACATCTTCATAACCATCAATGTATTGTAATACTACTCAAAAGCTTTTTTGTCCCTTCCTATCTCCATCGCTCTCAATTTTACTCATTCACCCCACTCTCCAGTCTCTCTCACTTTAATTTACGTATTTCCTCACAAGCACTTTCAGTTCCACTCACCCTAGCAGTTGCAAACTACACCTGCCACTCCCCACAGTATCTCCTTGACTATTGCTCAGTTTTCTCTTCCTCGTACTTCCCCCTCTAGTTGAAACCATTCTAAGTCACTTGTATTAATCTACCAGACCTCTTTCACACTTGCTGGCAAACTACCTGTTGCATCTTACATGGCTTCCTGAGCCTTCCACAGCTCCCATGATGCACTCAATATCATTTTACTGGATTGGTTTGTCCTTAACCTCAGCATGGTGGCCTACTAAGCTGGAAATCATGTAATAATTGTGTGTGTGTCAGAAAAAGTTAATAAAAAAAAAAACAAAAAAAAAAAACACATTTAACATTTCTTTTATGCATCAAATCAGAATCACCTTTGAAAACAATTATAAATGTGAGGGTCTTAGCACCTTTGTAAGTTTTGTCTGGTTGAATGGAATCTGAACAGCAATTTCCAATTCTTCCCATAGATTCTCGAGTGGATTAAGCTTTATGCCTAGGCAGAGTTATTCTAAGATATGTAGGTTCTTGATTTTACTCCACTCCAATGTAGTTTTTGCTACAGGAGTGTCTTACAGTTGTCTTACAAACAGACACTGGTCTTCCTCTAGAAATTGCTTATATATGGTTACATTCATCTTGTCATCAATACTAAGCAGTTTCCCAGTCCATAACAAAATGATGCAACCACCACCCCGCTTCACCCTGGGAATAATACCGTTAAGGTGATGAGGCTCATGTCGCATTTGGCGATAAGGTAAACAATTTCAATTTTGGACACTCACTAGCAAAAGTGGAAACGTGTGTGTTGTTTGTGTATATAAATACTAATCTTAATATTAACAGCACTGTAAGTTACCAATAATTCATTTGATGGAAACCAATAAGACATTTCACCTTTTCATTAAGAGCTCAATATCAGCGCGGGTTATGGTCTTTCGGTTAGCATGAGCGGTATAAGCTGCTAGGTCACTGCTTAGCTGTCCAAAGTAAATTTCCAAGCTACAAAGATTGAATAAAAAGACAAATTAAATTAAAAATGTAATTTTAAAATAAATTTTCCATAGCAGCATATCAAATCATGATGTAAGCACTATCATGAGGGGAGGTATAAGACAGAAGGTAGGAGATTACTGCATGTTTGTAAGTAAAACATCAGATATCAAAAAAAAATTTTTACATAAATATACATGCTATCATGAAAGCAGAAGATGTCTGGCTCAATGACCCCATTCTACCTCAGACAGGGAATGCCAGTGTTAGATCAAAATAAATATTAAATATTCTTGCAGGAAATATGACTTTTTCCAGGAGCATTGGTCTGTAAATTGTATCTTTAAGCATTACAAATGGTAACACTCCTTAATACAGAGTTTAACCATAATCAGGCACACCTAGACACATGTATGCGTTCGTATTTGGATCAACAGCAAAAAACAAATGTGAGGTAGGCTGAACTTGATGGACGCAAGTCTCTTTTCAACTATGTAACTATGTATTTGAAGTCAAATGAGCCATGATTTGGTCACTAGGGTAGGATGCCAATGCACTTATATTGCCATGATTGGACCATACAGAAACAATGGACAGCTAAAAGCCAAACCATTAGTGATTGTCTCTAAGTGAATTCAGAGTGCTCACACTCTTTCAGCCTTGGATGAAGCTGCTGGGCAAAATGCAAGGCGTGTCCAAGTGGAAATAAAATACATAATTTTGCAAGTTAATGGGATTAATGAACAGGACTTAAATTATTTACCTTACATGAGTTAAATGACTTACCTTTAAGTCCTTGCTGTGGCTTCTCTGCTTATCTGTCAAGATTGACCGTTTAAGCAAGTCCAATGCTTCCCCATAGGGAATGGGAGGTTATTGTGCACGCACAGCATGCCCTGCACCAATGAAATGCTGCTCTATTAGTGGCATTTGATTGGAAACCAAGTCTGACACAAAGGGAAGTGCCTCTAGTTGCGGTCAGGAAGACCACCACTAGATGAGGGTTTAACCCTGAAATGCAGTTTCTACAAAACTGCAATATTGTATATTGAAGTGAAGTGGTCTGTATGCCTTTAGCAGTCTTTTAACCATGTACTGTAAAAAGTCCCATTGTATAGACCCAATGGAAGAAGAAAAGAGCATCTGCCTACTCCAAAATAACCCATAAGAGTGCAGATTATACATAGAACACTAAGTGGGACAACAGTGCAGTTAATTTGCTAGTAAGCAGTCCACACAAACATACAATATGAATCCTTGCATTTTCTTTATTTCAGCTTAAAGGGAACTATAGTGCCAGGAAAAGAAAGCCTTGTGGACAAGGGGCTGGATTCTGGACACTATAAATTGGTAAATATTTAGAAAACATGAGGCAGTTAAAGATATATTTTCAGGGTAATATTCATAGCAGCATAACTTCTACAATAAGTATATGGTGCATTGAGAGTACATTAAAATGCCCTGTTAAAATATTTTCATTGTCTTTGAAATGCATAATGTATGGAATGTTTAAACCCTTAAGGACACGACATGTGTGACATGTTATGATTCCCTTTTATTCCAGAAGTTTGGTCCTTAAGTGGTTAAACCAATTGTCTTCTTATTAAAAACTTTATTCCACGCTCCCCCACCCACAAGATTTCTTTTTTCTTTTCTTTTAAGCAATTCCTTGTTTTTCATTGACTGAGAATAAGAATAACTCTGAGGATGACACTTTTCTAGATTACAGCGATACCCCTTGCAATACTCTCCTTGTATACCTGAATGATTGGTAAATTTGTTGTTACTTACCATCTGTCTACCTCTTTGTAGCATTCCTTTGATATCCGAAACTGGGCATAATTGCTAAATATCTGTTTTGTAAAGGTGCTTGGAAGTAGTTCTCTTTTTTGTCCAATTTCTGTTTTCTTCTTATTTTGTGTTCGCTTTGCAACAGTAATATTTTTGTTGACTCTTAAAAAAAAAAAATTATTTGTTCACAATGCATTACTTTCTTTTTTTAATGTCAGTCTTTAATTTTGTAGTGCTGAGAGTTACAAACAGGCTTGAGTTGCCACAACAGCAGGTACAAGCTAGTGAAAAAATACAGAGTAAACAGTGTCATGGCATTAAGTAACGCAAATAGAAGAAATATCTCCAGGCACTCAGGATGTTAAAGCCGCAGGCAGTTTTATTGAAACAGAAAGGACAGCAACATTTCGACCTAACAGGTGGTCTTTGTCAAGCATCCTGAGTGCCAGGAGATATTTCTTCTATTTGCTTTTCTGTTGTGGGATTGCTGGCCCTGCTCCGGAGCACCGGGTGGCTGCTTAGTGATTGAGTGCGGTTCATACCTATACTTCGGCATTAGGTAACGGCATACATTTTTGTTAGTAGATTCAGATTAGGTACAGAATAATGAAACAAGCATTATAGGTGTGTCAGTGGTGAGAGATCAGAAGTGTTTTCAAAACAGTTTATGCAAACTGACTATATGAGTGGTCTTAATAAGAGATGCCAACGCACGTAAGAAATTCATGACATGCTACTGTCTAAGGTTATGTCAATCAAACTTAACTAAGACATTACGTGGCTGTGCATATCATTAAAGAACAAGAGTTCACATTACTAACATTATTAGATTTCACTGTACAGGAGTTCCCTCCTCCCCTCCCCCTTTGCTGTGGCCACGGGCACCCTGAGGGTTGGAAGATAAGAATGCATATATATCAACAGGGTTTTACGTTTTGGAAAAAGCAGAGAGCAAAAACCGTAGAGAGAGACCCAATACAAAATAAACTTAGAATAGCTTGAGTCTTGTAAGAGCAGTTTGGCCATGTTGCCTTCTGTGAATGTGGCTGTTCAGGAGACTGCAAGTCAAATGCCTCGTGTTCCCGAGAGTCCCCTTCATCCTAGGCCATCTCGAATCTCTCTCCCACTCTGCAGCCCACAAAGGGACTCACCTGTCCCAGATCCCCGTCCTTCGTGTCCCAAAGACAGGTTCGTCTGCTCTCGGAAATGGAGGCATGCCGTGAGGCTAGCAGGGATGTTTGTCGTCCTTGACCGGGCCCAGCGTGGTTCGGAGTGCAGGCCCTTTAAGGCGCTTGTGTTGAGCTGTGCTGTGTTGGGGTGCCTGGGCGAGGCGGTTTGCTTCTTGCATGGGGCGGTAGTCACCTGTGTGGGTTTCCCGGTTGGCAGGATGCTGCGTCTTCTACGGCGCCATTTTCTGGAGCGTGTGGCTTTGCCAGGCGAGCCTCTATAGCGGGAGCGAGAGGGGCCCTCTTCACCGGAGCGTGTGTGGCCCTCTGCAGCTCTTCCAGCTTTCTCCGGAAGGTCTTGAATGCCGCGTTTAGCAGTGCCAAAATGTCAGGCTCCAGTGGTGGGCTGAGATGCCCTGTGGCGCTCTCCGCCATCTTGGTTACAGCATTACTTGTTTGAGGCTGTTGCTACAGCCCATGGAGGGGCCTTCCTGGTACCAGGGTAACCCTCTCCCCCCCCACGATCCATGAGGGGTCGTCGAGGGCACAGAGTCCAGCTTTTAGTTGTTGTAGGCGGTAGGGGAGTGGCCATCTCCCCCGCACCGACCATGCCGGAAGGCCTCTGGCTTTTGCTCGAGTTGCGTTGCATTTTTCGGTATCCACCGGTAGCCCCCGCTGTCACCACAACGTTAAGTGCCTTTTTGGGTAGCTTGGAGGTTGTGGAAGGCTGATAAGACGGGTAATATGCCCCGTGGTGCAGGAGCATCTCGATTCGGCTTCCACTCGGTTCGGCAGTCAGGCCCCACCCCCACAATTACTTTCAATCCAATAAATCGAGAGCACACTTACTTAGAAATTTCTGTCCCACACAGAATTTGGAATTAAAAAATAGAGAGGCTGTCGAGCAAAGCAATTATTACTACTTCAAATTCGTGTAGAAAAGGCTAGTTTACAATAGTTCTACAATGCAAATGTATGTACAGTCAGCTCACAGCCACTATGGTGGAGGACAGAGGACGAGACACTAAACTAAACCACATTTTTGCAAATTAAATCCGAATGGAAAAAAACAGCTAGTTGCGACTATAGCGGAGTTGAATTATTTTTTCCAGATCAGCTATTTTGGCCTCAGTTTTTTTTCTTTTCAGATTTAAGCTGGGAAAATTAAGAGTTTAGTGAATAACCCTGTCTCTTAGTAGGGTCTCAAAAACGTTTGTGTCAGGGGTACCACTTTACCTTTTTTTATTTCCACCCCCCTGTGGTCTGATGTGCGCAAGTATGGGCGAGAAGCAGGTGCACACGCCACTTTCATTAGAAGATAACAGAAGGCTGAAGCAAATCTCAAATTTCATCGAAATTGGCACGTTTATAAACTGCCTTTTAAATAATAACAATAACAAAGTATTTAACCAGGAAAGGCACATTCAGATTATTCTGGTTTCAAGTACATCCTGGGGTTGTAATGTACGGCATTAGCCCACTGAGCCAGCTCAAGTGCTTATAGGTTTGGAGTGGGCCTTTAACCCCTTAAGGACACATGACGTGTGACATGCCATGATTCCCTTTTATTCCAGAAGTTTGGTCCTTAAGGGGTTAAGCTAAAGTTGTTTTGGTGCTCAGAGGATCCAGTTAAACAGAAATCAAATGTCGATATCGTGTGTATTCCAAATATTGAGGACGAACCAAAATTGGTTGGAGACCGGACACTGATTATAAACTACTAATTTGTTCAACTAATGGTTTGGCCTGGCCAATAGTGTTCATCAACTACATTAAAACACCAAGATGTGGTTGGTTGTGCCCACAGCAGATTTACAGCACTACCAGTGTGTGAATTTTTTTATTTTTTTTTAAAGGGACACTATAGTCACCTTAACAACTTTAGCTTAATGAAGCAGTTTTGGTGTACAGAACATGCCCCTGCAGCCTCACTGCTCAATCCTCTGCCATTTAGGAGTTAAATCCCTTTGTTTATGAACCCTAGTCACACCTCCCAGCATGTGTCATGCACAGCCTTCCATAAACACTTCCTGTAAAGAGAGCCCTATTTAGGCTTTCTTTATTGCAAGTTCTGTTTAATTAAGATTTTCTTATCCGGTGCTATGTTAATAGCTTGCTAGACCCTGCAAGAGCCTCCTGTATGTGATTAAAGTTCAATTTAGAGATTGAGATTCAAATTTACCTTAAATAATTGTAAGTGAAACCAGTTTTTTTTTCATGCAGGCTCTGTCAATCATAGCCAGGGGAGATGTGGCTAGGGCTGCATAAACAGAAACAAAGTGATTTAACTCCTAAATGACAGTGAATTGAGCAGTGAAATTGCAGGGGAATGATCTATACACTAAAACTGCTTTACTTCGCTAAAGTAATTTAGGTGACTATAGTGTTCCTGTAAGCAAGGCAGACACTGTGAAACAAAGGTTTTGGTAATGAAGCGGTCATCTTCCTGCTCTTCTCTGCTGCCTCACGCTCCCTGCTCTGATGCTGGGATATGACATTACTCCGGTCCCAGCATCATTAAACAGCACGTGAAAGAGCAAAGTAAGAAGAGCATGAAGATGACAGCAGTCACACTGGACCCCAGGGATAGAATTCATTCCACTTCTCGAGTTAAGGAGACTGGGTGGACATTTAAAGTAAAACAGTTTATGAGAGTGTGCATGTCTGTCTTTTTGTGTAAATTTAAAGGAACACTATAGTGACAGGAATACAAACATATTCCTGACATGACAGTGTTAAAACTATTTAGGTGACCAGACCCCCTCCAAATGCATTGGAAAGGTATTTTTACTCACTTTTTCCCCATACCTCCATAGGAAAGCATTAGGAGGCTAACACACATGCGTGGCAAAACACCTTGCTGCACTAATCTGCATCTCCTCATAGAGATGCATTAAATCAATGTATCTCTATGGGAAACATTCAGAGCCTCCATGCAGAGCGTGGAGATGCTGAACTAGGAAGCACTTTTAGCGGTTGTCACTACATTAATATATAATTGTAAAACATTTTAAAATTAAACAAGCCTATTATAATTTATAGCATTTTCTGCAAACATTTATTTGTCCTTATTTCAATTTCTAGTTATGTACAATACATTTGAAATAAATCTGCACATTACTCTACATGACACACCTGTCAACTATTTATTCTTCCTTGAGTAGTATTTTCTTATATCACCATCTTTATTTTATGCCATATACAAAAGCCAGCATGTCTTTGTTCTCAGCAAAGACAACCTATATCAGTATGCTTAAAATAAAATTGAGACTTCTAAATACAAGTTAGAAACTTTAAGTCACCAGCGTAAATAGAAATGCCTTATACAAATCTGATTGTTAACCAACATACTCACAAACCTTATGGTTTCATGTTTTGGACGCCAAACTATTGTTTAAAAAAAAGATGGCTACTGTACATTGACTCAAGGATTATGTGCTCCCAATGTATTGGCTTTAAAATGCATGCAAAAATTACATTTTAAACCAGTACACTTACCTGAATTTAGCATTCTTAAAAAAATTTCTTGTGTCTTGTAACGGAGAGAGTTTAGTCTGAATTTTGGGAATTTTGTGTTCTTCCATTACAGAACATACTAGCTCTGTGAAGTGAGGGGAAAAAATCCCAATTATTACATTTTAATTGTGTAGATATTTGTAATTTATTTTAATTATTAAATACTATACAGTTTACATCTTAAAAGGACACTCCAGTCAGCTAAACAATTTAAACTTAAATTAGAGCTTTTAATCTCAAAACACCTGTGGTTAGTTTCTTTTCTTTCAATTCTGTGTAGTTTTTCTGCAGTGCTGTAAAATGTTATGCTGTTTTCAGCAGTGTAACCCAGCCTCCTTAGCCACCCCCTCTCAAATTTCAACATGTTCCCGATTCCCAGACTCTGAAAGAAAGAAATGTACCTTTTTCAGCCAATGAAAATAAAGGCATGTCTTTTGTAGTGTAAGAAATGCTCACAGCACAGACTGCACTAGAGACAAGGCTAGAGCCAAAATGTGCTACTTTCCCTCACTCCCTGTAATGCAAGGAATACATTCTTCCTCCAGCCCGTCAGCCAGACTCACTACCAACTGTTAACCCATTACCATCCAGTCCCTGTTAACCAAACTACCTAGATAGAGAGAGTGGATTGCCAGGGAGACCAAATTTCAATCTGAACTAAAACTTCTTCATTATGCTAAAGTTGTTTTCATGCCTATAGTATCCCTATTAACCCCTTAACAACGAGTGACGGACCTTGTCCGTCACATGTTAAAATTAAACCCGGATCGCCGCTATCGCGGCAATCGCGAGGTTAATGGTACTCCAGTCTGCCTCTGTATTAGAGGCAGACCGGGAGCACCCGATAGTGCTGCCCAGCACATGTGCTCGCTCTGACAGCATGTCAGAGCGAGCACATGTGCTTAGTATACTTACCTTCCGCCTCCCTGCACTTCCTGGTTCTGTGTGACGTGCAGGGAGACAGATCAGTGATGATCCTGCCCCTGTTAAAAAAAATAAAGTTTATTTAAAATCCCACGCCCCTTTTAATTAAAAATTAACCCCTTCCCTGCCAATTGATCACTGACTACAGTGATCAGTTGGCAGGGATTACATTTTACTGTCTTCTGATTTATTTATTTTTAACCCCTGAGGGTTAATTTAGTTTTTAACCCTCTGGGGTTAAATTTAATTAATTTAAATATTTTAAAATTATATTTTTAGCTAGCTGGGATGGGTGGAAGTTAGTGGGGAATTGGGGGATTTGGTGTTAGGCTAACTAGGGGTTAACATTAAAAAAGTTTTAAAATAAAAAAGTTAGAAATCAAGCTAAAAAAAAGTTGTAATAACGTTTAAGTAAAAAAAAAAAAACACACCCCCCCTCTACCCAGTCCAAATAAAAATGAACCCCTTCCCTGCCAGTCGATCACTGCCTACAGTGATCAAAATACAGATCAGAGTATTATACTGTGATCTAATTTTTTTTAACCCCTGAGGATTAACTTTTATTTTTTAACCCTCAGGGGTTCAATTTATTTAATTAATTTAAATATTTTATAATTATATATTTTGCTAGCTGGGGTGGGTGGGAGTTATGGAAAAAGGGGAATTTACGGTTAGTGCTGCTTACTGCTAGTTAGGGGTTAACGGTAAAAAGAAAAAAGCTTAGAAAAATGTTAAATCTGTAAAAAAAAAAAAAGTTTAGGAAAGTTTAAAAAAATTAATAAGCAAAACAAGTTTAAAAACTAGTTTTAAAAAGTAAAAAAAAGTTTCAAAAAGTATAAAAATACATTGAAAAACGCTCATTACCTCTACACCTGTAACAAACTAGAGGAAAATATGCCTTTTGAATTACCCCAGGGTGTATTCTTTAATAAATAGTATGTGTTTGTGGGGAAGTTTCAATAACCAACCATCTAAACTACTCCAAATTGGAACATGGACACAGCGTAAAACTTCAAAGTTAGAAAAAAACTGAATGGCTGCGTCTCAAATGCGCCCCTTCAACATCCACATATACCTGTCAAAGGTACATACGGTGGTATTGCTGTACTCAGACGACATAGCTGAGCAACATATGAAGTATTATACAGTCGTAGCACACATAAGGTTTGCAAAATATACTGTGCAAACTCACTTTGTGTGTCAAAAAGGCAGAAAAACCACTTACTACCACTACACTTGGTACAAGCTAGCGGAAAAATGATCCCACGCTAAGGTTCAAAATATGCCTTTTGAAATACCTTGGGAAGTCTTCTTTAAGAAATGGTATGGCTTTATGGGGTATTTGGATTATATAGCCTGGTAAAATACTCTATAATGGGACATGGGCACAGTGTAAAAATGTAAAGTTTGAAAAAAACTGGAATGGCTGTGTCCCGAATGGCTGTGTCCCAAATGTGCACCTCCGATGTCCACAAATACCTGGCAAAGGTACATACGGGGGTATTGCTGTACTCAGCCAACGTAGCTGAGCAACATTTAAAGTATTATACACTGGTAGCACACATAAGGTTTGCAAAATATACTGTGCAAACTCACATAGTTTAGCATATATTGGTGAAAAGATTGGGGCAGAAGACTTAGCTGAGCATAATTTGGGGGGTTTGAACTTAGTGGCACAAATATACAAAATGCCCAGCAAAAATGCAATCCACGTGTAAAAAAACGCACAAAATTATTTTTTACCACATACTTTGGCATATGTTGGTGAAAAAATGGGGGCATTTTAAGACACAATATGCACCTTATGATATACCCTGAAGTGTCTACTTTTACAAATGGTAGGCCTTTGTGGCCTTTTTTGAACAGTCCAACTGTTATACCCCAAATGGAAGCATAGACTCATTAAATCCGTTTCTCAAAATTCTACTGTGAATACTGAAAAGAACAGGCCTCCTATATGGCACTATAACTTCACGAAATAGTGCCAAAGAAATACAATGGGGGTGTCATTTTACTCAGCAGAAGTAACACAAAATACAATTTTGTACAGGAATAGCACACACCAACTTTACAAAATACACATGAGAATTTCTTTGTTATAAGTTTGTGTGCCAAAAACAAAAAAACCAAAACAATTTTAATCCAATATTTAGCAGAGGTTGGCGGTGAAATGGCTACGTAGAAAGTGTCAAAACAACTCTAGGTAAATAGCCCGTGATGTCTACTTTATATAAATATACACTTTTGTGTGGAAATTTTTGTTTTCTTTTATGGATATTAAGCTTACAAGACAAACATACCAAATTCTAAAATCGCTCCACATTAAAAGTTTATTTTACTCCTTGTGCTTTGTGACCTGTAACTACCAAAAAAAACTTAAAATCCCAGACACGTTATATATTCTGTAAATCAGAACTAAATGAATTTATTTTTAATTACTTTCCTTAATCTGCACTAATTATGCACACATTATTGCAAAAACTGTAAAACAAATTTATTTTTGCATTTTTCTGTATTTTTTTTATAATAAATAAACATTTATATATATGTCTTACATCAAATTAAAGCCCTTTCTGTCCTTTAAAAAAACTATATTTAATATGTGTCGGTGCAATAAATTAGTAAAATGCACATTGCAGTTGAACGAAAACAGCAAAAAGTTTAAAAAAAAATGCTGTTGTCATTAAGTGAAAGACAAGCTTCTGAAGCTCTGTCCTTAAGGGGTTAAGTCTATTAAGTGAGTAGTTCTAGTGCTTTTCCAATTAATTTCAAGGATGTACCTAACTGCCAAAATTACATGAGTTGAAAAACCTATTCCCCCGAATGGAGTAGTCTCTGGAAAAATAGCCATGGTGAGACCTCAAAAGTGTCTGAGATATGAGTGGGGATTAAAGAGACACTATAGTCACCAAATCAGTTATTTGTGTATATATCATGCTTCTGAAGTTTCACTGCTCAATTCTCTGCCATTTAGGAGTTAAATCACTTTTGCTTCGGTTTATACAGCCCTGGTCATACATCTCCTGGCTCTCACAGGGGAAAATTTAGGGGGGGAAAAGGGTTTCATTTTCAATCAGATCTCAACTTACTTTACAAGTTTTTATCTCTTGCTCACACAAACAAACACACACAAACACGTGTGTGTGACAAACAAATTCTTTAATTAAAAAAAACAAACAAACCCGAAAGATAAATAGAATATCTTCAAACAAATATTAAAAAGGTACATTTCTCACTATGCACCATTGGGTAATAAATATAAAATATATAAAATAAACAAATTGAAAACAAGGTGGTCTTGTGGGAAAGTAAATCAAGAAATTAAAAATAAGAAAAAGGCATTTAAATCAAACAAATCAGAGGCATCCTGTAACAGATATAAGGAAGTCAATGATGCAAGCCAAAGGCAATTCGATCTACTAAACTACAAAATGAGAAAGTGATGGCAAAAGAGAGCCAAACCAATCCCAAAGCACATAAAAAAAATAAAAAAAAAGTGGAGGTACTCAGAAAACCTGGATGGGGGTGTTTGTTAAAGGAGCACTATAGTCAAAATATAAAAGCAAGAAAGACAGGTCTCCATGCCTACTTTCTTGCTTTTATATTAGTTTGCAAAAAAAAAAAATCAAGCCGAGTGCTTTTTATCATTAAAACTTACCTCCGTTCCAGCGACGAATTCCTCGCCAGGCCCCGCCCCGCCCCATTTTTCATCAAAAAGACGAACTAGCGGGGGTGGAACCTGACCACGGAGGTGAACGGATGCACAAGCCTGTAGCTCCGTGCTCGCTATAGCAAAAAAGAATGAAATCTGGAACCCTTACCTCCGAAACTTAACCATAAGAGCCCACCGGGTCGACCTGAACGACAAGGGGTGCAAGACCAAGCGACCAACGTACGACAAACCCGCACCAGAACTTACTATTGCGGACATGTGGAGGCAAGCACATAGCGCCAGCGGGCCCAAGATGGCCGCGCTTTCTGGCGGCTGCTCAGACTTCTCGGACGAGTTATCTGGCGACGCTGAGGGCGACTATTTACCCATGCCCGCACCGGCTCCCTTACAAGTGACGAAACACAACAAATCAGGGTCGGACTCACCTGTGACCACATCGGTCCTAAAGGCATTGCTGGCAGACCTGCAAAGGAATATCTTAGACATAACAGCGATACGCAGCAACTTCCAAGGGCTGACCAGTTGCAATGGGGCTCTAGAGGGAACTTCCCAAAGAGCACCCAACATATTGCCAAGCTTCACCAAGCCGTACAAGACCTGCAGCAGCAGAACCTGCTACACGAACGTCGCTTTGCGGCCCTAGAGGACACACAGAGAAGAAACAACCTCAAACTCAGAGGGGTCTCGGAAAATATCCCCGAAACGGAACTGCCACATTTCTTGAGACGCATGCCCCAAAACGACTGTTTTATTATGCTTTTGACTCTGCATAATAAACACCTCACTCGCCTTTATTAGTTGTAATCTGCAAAGCCGACGCTTCAAACCAAGGCCCAGCTGGCATCACCTGCCTTGAACCTACTACGTTTGTTCAGTTTGTTTTTAACTTAATATCTTGTGTTACCACGTCTGACGGTTAGATCATTATTATTCGCATCGCTTGTACTCTACACGTGAAACAAACTTATATTACTGTTACAGATGGCTAGGGAAACATATGTCTCACGATATGACTGACTTACTTCTAATGCCTGAATGACCTGCTAATCTTACTACTTTCTCTATTACTTAAAAGAGCACTCAGTATTTCTCATGCCTTGTCAAACTATGTCACTGAATGGTTCCCTACAGCTACTGTGGCGTAGAAAGCCAGATTGTGGTTTCATGCACGAACAAATATCTTTAATATGTATACACCTCTCCTTCGAATAATAGCCTGTTAGACAAACCCGTTATTATACGCACTTGAGTAGGATTCTTATTACGTATAGTTCTCTAATGGTGACAAACTCCTACTTATAATCTAGACACGACAGATAAGCCTGTGACTATGCTAATTACTCCAATTTATAATATAAATAATATATATATTATATAAAAAATATATATATTGTGCCTGTTAATCATATGTCCCGCATGTTAAGCGAGGAAAAGCCGGAGGAATGCTTTTGGGGCACCTCAGGCCTGCTTGTACCATTTATATGCACAGCAAAAAAAGAATTTAATTTTTTTTTAATTTTTTTTTTTTAAAAGACGAAATAGCAGGGCTCAGACTCTGCACCAACCGCGTTCTTCATAGAGTAGGAATTGAATGTAGCTCTATGAACTGAGCGCTCTACCGCGGATGTGCGTGTTTGTGAGCGGAGCCGGACAGCTCACAGTCTATGCTCGCCCTCCTCCTATGCCAAAGTTTGTATGAAAACACTATATATAGAGATCTCTATGTATAGTGTTTGTATAAAAACACACAAATTGTAAATAAATATTGTAAACATACTCACACCAACATTTCCATCTATCTATACATCTATTTCTGTCTCTGACTAACGCTCAGTCACTCACTCTCTCACTTTCACTCTTGTGTGGATATTATAGACCTGTGAGCATTACTTCTGTGGCTGGGAAAGCATTTCAAAGGTTATTTGAAAGGGATAATATTTAGAATTTAATTTAGGACAACAATGTTATTAGCAAAAATCAGCATGGTTTTATGAAACATAGGTCATGTCAAATTAAGTTAATTGCATTCTACGAAGAATTAAATAGAACTATACATCAGGGTGTTGCAGTGGATACAATCTACTTGGATGTTAACAAGGCATTTGATACAGTTCCACTCAATAGGTTAGTGTTCAAACTCAAAGAAATTGGTCTAGATGAAAATTCTTGTTCTTGCGTAGAATATTGGCTTAAAGATAGAGTGCAGAGAGTGGTCAATTGTAAATTTTCAAACTGAACAAAGGTGGTAGGTGGTGTCCATCAGGGTTCTCTTCTAGGACTGTTTCTATTTAAAGGATCACTATAGGGTCAGGAACAAAAACATGTATTCCTGACCCTATAGTGAAAACCCACCATTTAGGTGTAAGTATTACAATGTGAGCAAGATATGACTTTGCTGCAGAGGGATATAGATAGATTGGGGAACTGGACACTTAAATTGCAGCTTAAATTTAATGTTGAAAAATGCAAAGTTATGCACAAGCAACTTACAACCTAAATGGTAGTGAATTAGGGATAACACCACACAAGGGGGGATTGTTATAGACAAACTAGGCAACAATGTGCAATGTCAATTGGCAGTGGCTAAGGCCAGTAAGGTATTGTCATGCATAAAAAGGGGCACTGATTTTCGGGATGAGAATTTGTCTGGTAAAGCAAGTAGATTAATAAGTTATGAGAGGATCACAGCAGAATAATAGTGGAGAACGGAGCCCCACCATCTCTGTTGGATTTGTGAATAGTGATCGTTTCAGTTCTGCCAGCCTTTCTGATCAAATGAATGTAGATAGTAGATGTTGAAAAGCATTAAAATAGGATTTGGGAATAGACACAGGAAGAGATCAAAAGAGTATCATTGGTAGATTCATCAGCTTAACTTAGTTGATTTTCCCCTACATAAGTAGGTCTTAATTTGTTGTAAAAGGGGACGGTGGTTCTATTTATAAATCATAGCCATAGTTTTAGGGACTTTTAACCCCCTCAGGTATGTGAGGTAATTCATTCTCCAATCATACATGAATATATTAGCTAAGGACTGGTGTAGGTTGATAGAGGGAGGACCTGAGTTTTCGTACTGTTAAAAGATTATTGGAAACTTTCATATTATAAGCTTAATAAGGATAACAGATCGGGGAGAAGGCTATTGTGATTAGAAAGTGTGAGTAGAATGCCAACTGCATATAGCAACAGTTTATGATTAAAAAGAAAATGTTGTCAAGACATGTTGCATATATTTTCTATTTAGTCTATCGAAGGCCTTCTCCGCATCCAGGGCTGTGAGAAGGCCCAGGACCCTTCCAGAGTTCTGAGTGAGCAGTTTCAAAGTAAGGGAAGGTTTGTTTTGAATCACTGTTAAAATAGTATCCTTATTGTATATATATCCCTAAATTAAATAGTGTTTCCTCATGTAGGTAGAAAACAACAGTAATGAACAAGTGTTTGTGACAAAAATTACAAGGGTCAAAAAACAAAAACAAAAAAACATAATATATTGGGGAAAAAAAAACATATACATGGGCAAAGACATAAGACCATATATTAGTAGAACAAATATACACATTAGTTTAAATAAAAAACCAGGGGTAATATCACCAATCACTCCACAGGAGTAGAGAAAACGTAGGCAAAATTAAGGTGAAGAGAAACAGGAAAAATGTGTGTGTGTGGAAAGCAATTCAAGAAATTAGAATTATGAAGAGGCAATTAATTGAATGGATTGCAGTGCATTACAGACCTTCAGATAAAGTGGCTCAGAATTAATAAAAAGCATAAATATATACCAAAAAAGATGCTATTGGTCAAGGGGATTAATAGAGGAGAGCACTAAGTGCATGTTTTATCTTTTTTCAAAATTTCCATTTACTTTAATAATGTTCAAATCAAGTAAATAATTTTAATTAACTTGGCATGCACTTTACATTTTTGTGTACAGTGAATCTCTACTTACTATTTGTGAACTTGGCCAAAACTGTTAGGGAAACAGAATGTACCTTCCCCAATTTGGGAATATCTTTACATGTCGATTTGACTTAATACATTGTTGGTTTAGCCTAATTATTACAAACTCTGGGTTTCTTGAACAGTTCTGCTTATCCCCATTTTGGTCATTTAACACACACTCAAGCTTGTCATCCTCACTGCAGTAATTAAATAAAAAGATTTGTGACTAACGAATTGCTTACCAGTGTCCTCCTGACCATCTGATAGAGAATGGTCATTTAAGCCATGCATTTCTACGGGTGTTTGTTGAACCTTCTGCTCTTCTAACGTTGATGAAGACAATCTGTGCATATGGATGTCAACTACTGATGATGCATTATCTTTGGCATGAGAGTCCAGTGTCTGAGGCACAGTTGTCACTTCTGTTTCACCAAGTAAAATATTAGATGTTTTGCTTGCTTGACCAGGTAAAATATGAGACATTTCTCCTACTTCACCAAGTAAAATATTAGATGTTTTGCCTGCTTGACCAAGTAAAATATTCGATGTTTCTCCTGCTTGACCAAGTAAAATATTCAACGTTTCTCCTGCTTTACCAGGTAAAATATGAGACGTTTCTCCTGCTTTACCAGGTAAAATATGAGACGTTTCTCCTGCTTCACCAGGTAAAATATGAGACGTTTCTCCTGCTTCACCAGGTAAAATATGAGACGTTTCTCCTGCTTCACCAAGTAAAATATGAGACGTTTCTCCTGCTTCACCAAGTAAAGTATGAGACGTTTCTCCTGCTTCACCAAGTAAAATATGAGACGTTTCTCCTGCTTCACCAAGTAAAATATGAGACGTTTCTCCTGCTTCACCAAGTAAAATATTAGATGTTTCTCCTGCTTTGGCAGGTAAAGTATGAGACGTTTCTCCTGCTTCACCAAGTAAAATATTAGATGTTTGGATGTGACTCTCTGTGAAAATAAGTTCTTCATTTTTGAGAACCACTTCACCATTAATCTCTTCAGGCACATAGTGAGGTCCTTCTACTGCACTTGTATGAGGTTCATTGTCTCCCTCCATCCCTTGAGACACATCCGTTTCTTGTTGATCTGGGTCTTCCTGTACAAATAAAACATGCACATTAAGTAACTGAAAATCAGAATTAAATTCATTTACAGAATCATTTCTTCCATCAATGCTTGATACAAGTTCTTTCTTCATTGTTTCTTGTTCAGGGTAAACCGTAACAATGCTTTGTTTTTTGATTACAGGATGTGCATATAATTCTGTGTTCATCCCAGCCATCTCATTTGATGATATATCAGATTCTTCTCCCTCTGTTGACTCTACAAAACATTCTTGAGAACCTGTTTGACACAAAGTATAAGTAAAAATGTAACACAAAGATTGAAATAGTCAATAATAGACACTGAATTTTTGACAATTAAATTTAAAGTGCGAGTTCTGTACCAATGACAGCTTAATGAATAAACATGTAATCAATTGCATTAGTATATGCAGATACTTGCCTAAAGATTTATACAAAAGGATAAAAAGGAAAAGCGAGAAACAGCTCTTTATGATATTATTGTATGGGCAAATATATAAATGTCAAAGCAGTTCCACTGTACAAAGTCTATGGTTGCTTGGCTAGTGAGCTGGCATTTGATCTGAAATTTAACTTATCACCAAGTCTACAATAATAAAAGATTGGCCAAAGAGACAAAAATGAAATGGACAAATACACACAATTCTGTAAATAAGGCAAGACACAAATAAAATTATTACAATAGAATGTAAGCATTTGCCACTTAGCTATTTAGGTCTGTTATGATCAATGTCTGCCAAAACGTCTCACCGGCGAAAAATTGGCCAAGGTGAGGGAGGTGGTTAATGGTATGCATTCTTTTTACATCCGTTATCAAAGTGCATAAGTGAAAGATGTAGAGGTACTTTTTTGTTAACAGAGGAGATAAGCTAAATTTAATGACAAACTTTCAACTCTGTGCTCACATTCAAACGAAAGCAACTGTTAAAACCCCAAAACCAATAGTTAAAATAAAAATGTAACTTATTCATTATACATTTGCCCCATTATGTAAAAAACAATAATATTCCAAAATCAATGCTATAACCTTTCAAATGTTGATAGTTGTTTTCCACTCCTTGTTCAAAGTCTTCTAAAGAAACCAGATGAAACTTTTTTGGCCTCCTTATTAAACCACCTTTACCTCCTTGACTTATCAATTCAGCAACAACAGGGGTGCACAAATCTGTCATAAGTGTCCTAAAAAACAAAAATATTTATCATATGCAGTTTTTTTTATGTCAATAGGTCAAAATTTAGGATTTTCAATATATAAAAAAAAAAAAAGGGAATGTATACTACAAAATTAATGTTAAAAACCATTAAAAAATAAATACATCTTTACAACAAAATGTCCAGGCGGATAATTCATATTAACCTTATCAGTCTTTCCAAAATGATTCTTTTGTGTGTGTAAATCAGCCTTCATAAAGTGCTAACTGTAATATACATTTAAAAAAAAAAAAAAAAATCATTTATGGGGCGGGGCCTAACTGCCATTCTGAGCGGTCGCACATGAAGTGAGCTCCTGGCTAAACTATGAGAAAAAGCTGATAAACTGACTCAATACCCAAGCAAGTCTGACAAATCCTGCTAAGGACACCCTGAGCCACAGTCTACGGCATATTACTGATCGAATGGGATTTTACCTCGACGCATCTCAGAGAAATATTGGTGGAGGCAGCTGGTGAGAAACGGCCGTTCTCCTTGCTGACACTCTGAATGACGAGGAGAGGCGATCGGACTCCCCGTTCTCCATACCCTCCTCCCCCCTTACCGGTGAGGGACATCCCGGTATATAATCGACTGTCCGTCGAAAAGAGGGGGCCTATGTAATCCTGCAGAAGCCCTAGTAAGCGGAGGCCTTTCAATCAGCCGTCCCAAAATGGCGGACGTGCCATGTGAAGGCAGCCCTGCGACTTCCATGAAGCACCTGGATGAAATCTTCGCCAACTTCTGGCGCAAACTCGCTCAGGCAAGAGCAACGAGAGGAGAGGGAATGGGGCGACAGCTCACTGCGAACCCTGCCACTCACGACCTGCTAAACATGCAACCTCCACGCCACGCACTCTACACCAGCGGAGGTGACGCAACCAACCCCCGGGCACTTACAAGAGCCCAAAAGCAGCAAGGGTGAGCCTCCCGGCGCACATCTCGCACCTCCAGAGCATGAGGCTTCAAGAGCAAGCCGGCACTGCACCGAGCCAGCAGAGGAGCTGTACGCAGCCGGACCGGCAGGAACCGGAGCCCGACTCAAGTATGGGGAAAACAACACAACAAGATCAGGGCCATTGAGACTCTCACACCCCGAACAAGCCAGGTACCAAGACAAGAGATGGGGTGATCGACCACGAATATGCAGCCTGGACATTTCCGTTACCGTCACGCTCTTCTCTCACGGACTGATTTGTACCGATCCACACCTAGACTATTTACGCTACCTGGCCCACTTAAATCGACCGTTATGCCACGACAGACGCTGACCAGAACAACACGCAGCCTCCCTAACTGAGATTCACAGCGGGAGAGAACTTTACAACAACCTTCAAAGCGTTAATGTTCCTAACTGTTCAATCGTTTTTATGTGTTTAAGTGTTTAATTGTTAGGCATCCTCGTGGTAATCTCTTACTACTCAAATGATGGCTTACAACTCACACCAGTCACACACCCTCAATCACGGCATAGCTTGTAGCCAGTCTTCAATATGACTATCCGATATCTACAGATTAATGATTTGCTAGTAATCCAACACCCTAGACATGTGCATAGCGTGACTTAACCCTGATTTTCTTTTATAACAACGTGTCATGCTCTGTATTAGCAAGCATTGGTTTTAAATGTACTTTAGAAATAAATCGACAATACTGCAGAGGCAATGAAGGCTGGTTACCTTTGCCTGAATGGATAGGTTTTAACACAGTAAAGGAGTTTAAGCATGCGTGGGATAAGCATAAGGCTATCCTAACTATAAGATAAGACTAGGGAGTAATGAAAGTATTTAGAAAATTGGGCAGACTAGATGGGCCGAATGGTTCTTATCTGCCGTCACATTCTATGTTTCTATGTTTTACAAAAAGTTTATGAACTGTAGACATTCACATTCCTGCGTATTAAAACACTCAGTACTAGTGATGACTGTGTCAGTTAGTATAGCTTGACCACCACACAATCTTGTTTAACTACCTACTGACATTCATTATTAGGATACTGTTCCCCACTTGTAACCCCTATATAAAAATGTGCAATCTTTATTAATGCCAGGCTAATAATATAGCCTGCCTATAGGAAGGACAGACTAAGAAGAGGATATAGGTGGCATGGAGAGGGGCTATGTCGTCTCTGGATATCGGTTGCCAACATGCAGACGTGAGTCATCAAATATGCACAGAGCTGACATTAGCGAACATGGAACTCATGGTCTAATGATGGAACTAACAATGCCTCAATGACTTTGCAGGAGATTAAGTAACAGCTCTGGTAGAAAATGGGCTAAACTCTGTATGTGCAGCACTTCATAGAACACTGAACATTTAGACTCCAGGCATCAAGACCACTTCAAGTCCTGGTGCTTAGACTAGTTCTTTAAAGCTCTTGAGAGAAATGTTAGACAATTGAGAGCATGCCATAAAAATGATGTGGCCCTTGAGAAGTCCTGAAGATAAGAATTAGCAACGTTGGAACAAATAGAGGACGAGGGAAGGTCACCAGCAGAGAAAATGGATCAAGAATAATTTGTCAAAGAGATGTAATGAGGAGTGGAATTGTTGAGAGCTTCATAAGTTACTCAATAGTACACATACACATGATTTATTGTTAAGCAAGCCTTCTGATAAGATATAGAACATCTTTGATATTATTCTTAATGATACAAGGAAAACCTTCTAGGGAGAGGGTGTCAGGTTACTCTAATGGTAAGGGGGGTAACCCCTAAGATGAAATAGGCTTTGACAAAAAGAACACAAGGAAAAAAAAAAAAAAACATGTAAGGGATAAACCCTCATAGACAGAGAGTAACCCTAATAAAACAACTGTTAACACATATATATATACATATACATACATATACATATAAATATATATATGTTAAAAGTTGTTATATAACCCTTTGTCTCAATAAAGGAAATCAATATAAGATTAGTATCTTATTATAGAAAAAAAATCCTACAGAAATAGAAAAAAAAAAAAAAAAAAATATGAAAAAAGGCGCGGTATAATCTTAATAGAATTATATTAAATACTGGTAAAGAAACAGATCCCGAGACTGTCCACATCATTTTTATTTCTGTATCGACGAATAGTATATGTCCTATACCACTGAAGCAAAATTATACACTTGATGTATGCCTCAATCACCATTGATTGATTTTGTGTGTGTGAGTGTGTGTGTGTGTGTGTGTGTGTGTGTGTGTGTATATACACACTTTAACAAAAAATACAAATTATAATATATATAAATAAAAGTAAGAAGAAAGGTATGCAGCCTATATACATATTTTGAGATTTGAAAAGGTTTGATATTTCATGAATGAAAGGATAATAAAACGCATTTGTCTTTGTTTATGCAACATGTAATTTGGCTAGATACCTAGCTCTCTAAGATTAGTCACCTTGGTACCACAGACTGATTTGCCATGGCCGCCAGATTTTCAATTTGTTCTGCTGTCTTCGATAGGCTGTTCTCTGAAAAAAATTTTTTTAATGTTAATCATTGTACAGTGATGGCTCGGTTTTGCAACCTTACATATATAATTATAAACATATGCTTTTAAATAAGTTTTAGTATTCTTGGCAAAAGTGCAGTTTTTCCTATTCTCATAGTCCTTTTTTCAATTGATTATTCAGGTGGCAGATACGGTTAGATCTTGTTTTTTTAAGGTTTTAGATGAAGGTTTACTTAACTCTGCAGATCAAACATGTTATTTAAAACGTACGTCTCACATTGTTTATAGCATGTTGTCGCATAAGATCTGTATGGCTTTTCTATTCAGTGAAAGAAGCATCAATATCAAAAGAAATGCAGTTTCAAGGTGTATAACTTAACAGTGATATCTTTTATTCATGAAGAACTGGGTCAGACGTCTATAATAACAAGCCAGAATGAGAACAGACAAATCCTTGCAGTGGGGAAGCAAAATAAGTAACAATGTCCCAGAAGTTATTCATTTTACTCCAAATTGTAGCAAATTGAAATCTCAATGGGAAAATTGAGGCCAAGATACCGGTCCTGGAAATATTTCCCAACTCTTTTATAGTAACAGCTTGCTACTTTATCCTAGATATTGCATTCAGATTGTTATTTGCTAAAATCAGGAGTTTGGTGAATAACCTTGCTTATGTGTAGGACTCTAGAAAAGGGCATAAAGGGAAAACTTGGCTAACGGTTCTGAAAAATAGTCCCATCACCATTTTGTGTATAACGTGGCAGTTACTCATTTTAGTTTATAAATCTTTATTACATTTTATAAAAGGAAGGAAAAAAAGTTACATATCAGTAGACAAGATAAAGATGATACCAATATCGATGTAATTACAGATTAGTCATACACAATCAGGAAAAAATTATAGTGAATTCATAAATTAGCTTTCGTATTGACAAAAATCGGGATAGTCCTAAAAAAAAAAAAAAAGGTAAAAAAAAGAAGAAAACCAACATGCCAACGGAAAAGGGTTGGCGGCAGAAGGGAACAGACAGGTTACTTAGAACTGTTATGAAAGAGTGAGTTGACAGGCAGTTACTCATATTCTAAGCGTAAGTACCACATTAAGCATGGAATGGATTAGTCGGCTCCTGTTTTTGCACATTTGGATTTGTGCGTTCCCACTGTTGTGTCATGTATCTTTATTGAATATGAAGTATTTCTACTATTAGCACTCTATTGTCTTGTTTTAGGAAGGGTGTCTATTCTTTCCACCTCTTTTTTTGTTTTGTTAGGTGTTACATTGACTGGATTTCTATGGAAACATAAGCCAGATAGATATAACTTGCTTTACATTATTGCATTGCTTTCATATGGCAAAGTGGATTTGCACACAACTAAATACGCTATCAAAGATTTTGAACCCCCTGTCCACAAAAAAGGAATTAAGCCAATTCATAAAGGATAGCTCAGCATTAAACAGGAAATGGCTCTCAGAGTTAGCTTTGCTAAACTGAAGCAGAGCGGTATAGTAGGCTATATGGACATAATATTTTTAGATTGCTTGGATATGTGACCACAGGACAAATATTAGGATCAGAAGCCACGGGAAACAAAATAGGATAGAGATGTATGGACACCCTCTAAAACTAATCAGCAGACAACTGCTCTTTCCCTTGCCAACATGTGGCCTTACAAGTGGCTATCCTTTTTCCTAATGGTGTAAAGAGATTCTCAACTATGTACAGTGAAGGTACTGGCATATATTCTAGTGTTTACCAGAATGAAAAAGTGATGGCCCACTCTTACAGGTGGGCAGGTTTTCTTGGATGCATAGGCTTACGCATAGATTTTTATCAGGAAATGCGTATAGAGGTGAAGTCTGCTCCAACGCTGACAGAGTTATTTAATATAGTGAGAGTTTAAAGTGGATTTCAAATGTGAAGGTAAAAACAGCCAAACTGCAAACAATCTCTAAGTCAGATATGCTTCTAGTTCAGCATCAAGTGTCACAGGATTTCCACAGACAGTGTTGTACTCTCATGTGTGGGCTTCTGACAGATGGCTCGTGAGAGACTGAAGACGACCAGCAGGTTAACTTTGGCAGTGGTCAAAAGGGTACAACTCACCTTGCCTGCACCCACTGTAGCAGTCACTTTTGGGGGTTTTGGTAAATTTTGCAAAGAACCCAGAAGGTAAAAGATCCGCATTACTTCTTTCGTGAAAAACATACCGATAAAGTCTCACAGCCTTATTTACACCTTGTAGCAATAATAACAGTATGCACAGAACTCATGTATATTTTTGCTCTAAAAATTGTATTTACACCTTGTAGGTATTTCTGTTCAATACTTGTTACTCAAAAGATTTTGACCATTATTTCTCTCTCAAATTTTTAGTGTATGCAATGAGCAAAAAGTTGAAAAATATAGTATTATCTTAAAGTAAAAAAAAGGAAATCTGGATCACGGAAGCCTAGATTCCCAGTAATTGGGTGTATAGATTACATGAGTCCTGGTGTGAAAATAGGTTTTACCACTTTTGCTTTCAGATACACAGGTATACAAAATAAATCATAGGATGGTATTCACACCAGATCCATCAAAAACAATTTCAAGGGAGCGGAGCCAAGCAGCCAAATTGAGTAGATGACATTTCATACTGCTCCGGGTCCTACATTCTGAATCTCACAATAATCGACCAAACTAAGCTACATCGGCCCCCAGCAGTGCTACCTGAGACTGGATGACAACCCATGGAGCACATACATGCCTTTCTTCTGCGGATCGCAAGTTAAAATCGACCCACAAGAAATGGCGGATGCACAGACTCAGCAACCTGTGGTTTTCTGCGAGACACGTGGAGTTCCTAGACGACTGTTCTCCCTTCCCGCCCACACCTGTCACGGTAAATACTTTACCGGAGATAGGACATACAAAACCAAAGACTCTGGCCGTAACAACCCCCGGGACGAGAGACATCGGCAATTACCAACAGGCACTCCGATCCTGAAGCAGGTGGACAGAGAGGCCTCGACGGACCTGTCAGACGGAGAGGCCAGTCCACCTCGAGCAAGGTCTACCAAGCCCATCAGGCTCAAAAATACCCGCAGCAGCACCAAACTCAACACCCTCCACGAAACAAGACATGGCAGACCTATACAAACGAATATGCACGCTGTTTGATGCAGACATAGCGCTAGTAAAGGAAGAGGTGCATGCCATCACGGAGACCACAGAAGAGGAGGTGACGGGCCTCAAGCAGGGCCTCGCCACATTGGAGGTGACTGTACAAGCACTGCAGGCCACCACCAACCACAAGGTGGCAGAAAGAACCTTAAATTCAGAGGGGTCTCTGACGAGGTGAATGCAGAAGAGTATCCACACATGATCCGACGACTGCTAGCCACAGCACTACTTGCCAAACAGGTGAGGTCAGTAGTCCTGGATGGGGTGTACCGGATCACGAAGTCGCCAAGAGCGCACAAGGCCACCCCCAGGGAAATTATTGTGAGATTCCAATCCTTTGCCGACAAGCAACAATTCATGCAAGCCCTAAGAGGCAAAACACCTTTGTCATTTGAGTCGCACCAATTGACTTTTTAACAGGATCTTACCCAATCTACCCTGCAATGGCGCACAACCATGCGGCCTATAACCTGGAGGCTATAAGAAGCGAATATACCATATCGGTGGACCGCTCCATGGGCCTTAACCGTGCAGGCGGCGGATAAAACCAGGACTCAGTGACTTGACTGGCCTAGGGAAACCCGTTGCAGTCCTAGGGCTGGGACTAGTTCAGTTTTGTATTAGTTTAGCTATGTTATATGAAGTGTTCTTTATTTTGTAATTGACCACATTCTCCCTTTGGCTTTACGGTGTCAAAGCAGTTTCCCGAACTCGGGAAAATAGTCTCACCACATAAGCAGATAAGGAGAGAGGAGGTATAATAGCGTACTCCTAGGAGAACACAAACGTGACCATCAGCCTCTACCCTCCCCCCCATAAAAGAAGTGATAATATAATGGTAGAAAGGGACGAAAAGTCTGATGGATACTTTACTATTTTAAAATGTGCACTGTGTATTGCCGAAATGCCATGTTAATGTGCTGCTATGTTTTATGAAAGTTTGCACTAGCTGTTGTGGCTTTGCAAGCCAGTTTGTATCACTATACACGACAAAAATAAATTGTAAAATTTAAAAAAAAATTTTTTTTCAAAAGTGATGAAATTTGATTTTCTTTATGCTTTTTGATATTTAATATGTTTGTGAATAAAGACCCAGATAAGTTTCAAAGTTTTAGCATAGTAAGCTTTTTGGTTGTTTACAAGTTTGGACTTTATACCTTCTTTCCTAAATACCACTACCTTACTGCTATTTGCATAGTAAGAGCAGTAAAGTCCTAATTAAACACCCTCCATACTGCCGATATGCCCAGTAGCGGCAGGAAAATCCATACTCCTGACCCACCGTTTACTATCATTTATATACATCAAGACCAGGTGTAACCATCAGATTGGAAAAGAATAAAAGCATGCCTTGTTACAGTACACAATATAACCTGTGATGTGAATTAAATCTTTGGAGATGTTATTGTGGACAAGTTGTGTCTGTCAGTTCATGGTGGCCTCTGCTGCAAAGAGCTTGCAGGACAAACAAAAGATTTTTAAATTACATAGAAGCCCATGGCAAAGAAGTGATCAAAGGGACGCTATAGTCACCAGAACAACTACAGCTTATTGCATTTGTTCTGTTGAGTAGAATCATTACCTTCAGGCTTTTTGCTGTAAACACTGCTTGTTTCAGAGAAAACGCAGTGTTTACATTACAGCCTACTGATAACTTCACTGGCCACTCCTCAGATAGCTGTTAGAGATCCTTCCTGAGTCATGGCTGCCTAAAATGCATCCAAACATTCAGTGTCTCCAACCTCTGCATGCAGACACTGAACTTTCCTCACAGAGATTCATTGATTCAATTCATCTCTATGAGGAGATGCTGATTGGCCAGGGCTGTGTTTGAATTGTGTTGGCTCTGCCCCTCATCTGCCTATTTGTCAGTCTCAGCCAATCCTATGGAGAAGCACTGTGATTGGATCAGGCTACCACTTCTGATGAGGTCAGCAGGCAGTGGGCAGGTCAAGAGGAAACAAAGTAAGCAGATCCAGACTTGAATACAAGTAAGATTTTACTATGTTTAGGGAGGCATGAGGGGACGAGGGTAGCTAGATGGTGGTTTTAACACTATAGGGTCAGGAATACATTTTTGTGTTCCTGACCCTATAGTACTCCTTTAAAGAGGTCTTAATTTTTTTCTTACAAAGTCTGATAAACGAGTTAAAGTGAATCTTTTTGAGTAATGCCTATAGAATATACACTGAATATTTATGTATCTTTTTATAACAGCAAAAGATCCTAGATTGAACACTAACCAATAAGGATTGGCATGTACCCGTGATCAGTAATATGCTAGTTTAGACACATTTGCTACACAGTTTATTACCTGCTTGCCTTACTGGCATACATCCCAGAGCAGTCTGAAAGGAAAGTGGTTGAGTTTGAAAGAGTGTACCTAAACACTTTTACATGCTATCTGCAGCATGAGATTTATTGCTGTAGGAAGAGCCAGGAGTGCTGTATACACCCGATACAGATAGACAAGAGTCCTACCTATCAGACTGAGCAGAGTTTGACGACAAGGTCCCCTACAGCTACCGACCCTACACACTTGTTGAACCAAGTGTTTAACACAATTCCACGCGATTCTATTACTATAGTGGTCCCTGACGAAGCACTATCCCTAATAAAGGCGAAACACTGACCTTTACTAGGCTTTCTAGTCTATAACAGTCTGAATATAGCATATCTTCCACCATTCTAAGGAACAATGTTTGTGGGAATGCAGCGGGAGTATGGGAAACAACTGAAAGCAATTCAAAACTTGATTACAACAGTCTTGCAGCACAGGATTAATACCGTTGGATATGCAGCATTTTACTACTGTTAACCACAGGCAAAAGCATTTAATTCAAATGAATGAAAAAAAGAAACTGTACCTTGAACTTGAGGTAGCCTTTCTTCTACACCTCTCTCAAAGTGTGTGATGCTCACTCTTTTTTTCTTATGGGCATTTCCAAATACTGTTGGACAGTTATGTTCATCCAGCTCTGATAAATTCAGATCTAGGTTTTTCATGCTGAAAAATGTTGAAATAACTTTACCATAGAACAGAAAAATATAGGATTTAGAGTAAACAAAACCAAACGCACAATTGCCATTTAGTCATATGGCAAAATGAAGAGTTTATTGAAAGATTTTAGTATATATATATATATATAAATAAAGTAATCACATAACTTACATTCCTGTTAGCGAGACTTGTAAAAGAAATGCCCAAAATGTATAAAGTGCTCTAGGGGGGAGATATATATGAATAAGTGTGACGGTAGTCACCATCACGGGGGGGCTGAAGACACACTTCATGGAGTTTTCCAGATTACTACTATGTTTTAGTCTTCCTGTGCCTATTATGGGTATAGGGTGTGTAATGTATTTGTTTGCTGGGGTTCCCCCTCCCCTTGTTTTTCCAGAAGGTTGTTGTCCCATTGTTGCAGAGACCCCTTTTGTCTGCTATATATCATTATGTTTTTTTAGGAGTTTCCTTATACTATGGGAGAGAATTGTGTTCGCGAGTCTGTGTGTATAAAAGGAAAGACTGATGTTGTACCTATATAAATTAGATTTTTACCTAGTATTAAAAAAAAACATTTGTATTAACAAAAAAGGTTGTTACAGCATTAAGCAAACATAAAATACAGTATAAGAAGTAGTAATGCACTTAACACATAAAGTAACCTAATTGCAATGACAATACAACAGAAAGGTGTATTCATATTGTTGTTTGCCTCCACATTTAAATTGAAATTGCAACGATTTACTAAATGCAATTTCCATCTACATTCAAAGGAATTTCCATCGTAGCAACTACAAAAAAAAAGTCAATTACTAAAAAAACAAAAAGATCGGTAAGGTAAATCAAGAAGGCAATGAAATTTGCATCACTCAGGGAAGGAGTGAACAGTGGGAAGGGAGGGTGGCTCACAAAGGTTTGCTTCTTTCAGAGACTGGGAATCAGGAACATGGTGAAACTTGAGAGGGGTGGCTAAGGAGGCTGGGTTACACTGCTGAAAGCAGCAAGACATTTTACAACATTACAGGAAAACTACACAGACTTGAAAGAAAATAAACTAACCACAGGTATTTGAGCCTATTAGCTTTAATTTAAGCTACACTTTCTTTAGCTGCCTGGAGTGTCCCTTTAAGAATAAAGCGAAGAGACAGTAGAATTAGTAGAGTTGACAGGCTCTCTTTAAGGAGAATGCATATTTTTTTACCACTAGGAATGACGCATTATTCCTGTACACAGGGGGCACTGTTTCATCGGGGGACATCACAGCATAAAAGATGTGTATTTTTATTGCAGAAAAAGCCAACAGTGTTCTGACATTCACAGTTAAAATGACATGAACATAACAATTCTTTATTTTTTAAACTTTTTAAGCTTTTATTCATACAATTATTTAAAATATATAAATATTTGATGTGAAATAAACGTCCCATTTCTCCTGAACAAAATTGTATATAAAATAAGTGTGGGTGCACTTAATACGAAAGACAAATTATGGTTGCACAAACGTGTAGCTCAAAATTCTAGGTTTTGTTTTGGTTAGAACTTGTACAATTGCCTCTGTCTTTAACGCATAAACTTAAGGGGGTATATAGAGGCTCAAGAAAATGGGTGTGTACACATTTGTTATACAAGCCTATGTTGATCAACTTGTACAGATAACCTGCACAATAAATTATTTATTTCTGGTCTTGCAGCCTCCCCATACCATCAGAAGGAGGGTATATCTGCATGGTTTATGTAGGTTTACCCTTTTTACCTTGTTTTGTTGTACTTTGTGGAATTGTTTGATTATTCCACAGGTGATGGTTATATAATTATTTCATCACACACCACTATATTTTTCATCACGCCATTACATTTTGAAGATTTTCATTGGTTGTGTTCAGCAGTTTAAAGCTTTAATGAGGAGGCAAAACAGAATTGATGACGACAGGAGCAGCTATAGAGGGAGGAGTACCGCTTTAAAGGCCAACAGTCACCTCAAGACTGTTTTTAATATAATCATCCTTTTATCAAGTTTTGAAAAGTAATATTAGGTTTTAAATCAAGTAAGCGTAACAGTGACAGACTGTTTGACAAATTCAAACATGGTCTGACCCAAGGTGTATGCATATGGCTGAATGATCCAGTATTATACCAAAGATAGGAATGAGTTTTTTTATTTTTGTCTTTCATTTTTTACATATACTTAATTTAACAAAGGAACAATTTCTTTTCAAAAACTTTATAAAATGATCATTACAGTACAAGAGTGTTGAGATTGGAAGTTCTCCTTTAATTTTTTTTCTGCATTCTCCTGTGGGCTGGACCTACATCCCATGTTTATGACTTGTGGACTCTCACCATCATGTGAAAGAACAAAGCCCTTCTGGCAGCAGCAACAGTCATCAGAAAGGTAGTATGTCTGATGTCAAAGTTATTTTTTCCAGTAGCTTTGAGTTTAAATGGGTTTGTTACAGAATGGAATTCAGTGTAGAGAAGATATTTTAGCTGAAGACTGATTGAAAACATTTGATGAGCTTCAAAATCTAAAGTGTTCTATTTGGAACATTATACATTTAACATATAAAATCGATATATACCATAAAAAAAGGAAAGAATACATTTCAGTTATGTCCTTCTCTAGAAAAGTCCTGCCTAAAGTGTGTTCCATCTTAAAGGACAACTGGCACAGAAGCAGGAAAGATTATAGGACACTGAATATCGACTTTCAAACACTGTTTGACCCATGCGGCATATATATATATATATATATCTGATTGATATGGTCATACACTAAAGGTTGGGGTGAGTTAAGCTATTTGAATTTTTTTGCATATACCTCATTAAAAATATAAAAGAAGAAGAGAAAAAAAAAACAGTTTCCTTGATATTAAAATTTGTGTTACAAAGCTTCACTAGAGAGAAAAATCAGAGCTCCTTTGGATTGAGTGGTTTTGGTGTATAGATCATGCCCCTGCAGTCTCACTGCTTAACATTTTGACATTTAGGAGTTAAATTACTTTGTTTATGTAGCCCCAGTCACACCTCCCCAGATGACACTCTCGCAGCCTTCCTACACACCACTGGAAAAATTAGCCTACATTTTAAAAGTTCCCGTATTGCAGTGTATTTAATCTCTTACTTGCCTGAAACAGTTTCATGTGTATGATTAAGGATAGAATAAAGTCTAAAGTTAACACACTGTGCTGTAAAACCCAATTCAAAATGTAATTTTTTTTCAGTATCTGCCTCAAGCTTGTCTAGACATTGCCGAGTACATATATCCTGCAAAATGTGCAATATAGTGTATTTGGTTTCGATCTGCCGTCAACATTAACTGATATTTATGGGGAATAGGAAAAGAGCTGACAAGTTGAAAAAAGTGATCTTACTCAAAACATGCCTCCCAAGAAAATAATATTTGGGTACAGGCATTCCTGCAGGGGTTCCTGGGTTTTAAAAGGGGAGGTAATGGGACAGGACCTGAATCTCAAGCCAGGGAGCAGACATCCCATTCCCATGACATGAATTAATTTAACAGAGTGGAATACATATTTGTTCAAAATAGATGATCAACGCTTACTACAGCAATCACGGTCTTGAAGAAAAAAAATTAAGGCAAGTTGGCAAGGGATTGTTCTCCTAATTTAATATCTACAGGAAATTGAAAACATTTTTGGAGACAACCACAACATTAGAACATGAATATTTCTAGAGCTGATAATGTATGGATAAGACTCTTGATAGCATCATCCCTAAAGCCCTGGGCAACCTTCTTAACTTTACAAGGCACTGCAAAGGCAGAATAAGTCAGTGGGGGAAAAAAAGATTAAAGCAAAAAGTATATCAAAAACAAGATATACAAAATCACAGCTTCAACTTGTAGGTGACAGTGCTCCATTAATAAAATGCAGGATACGTATTTCAAAAGTTACTCACCTATGAATTGAGTTATCTAAAGGGAGATCTTGTTCATTATGGCTTGAGATATTATCAGACTTCTGAGAGACTATCATGGATACTTCTGGCTCTAAGAAAAAAAATGAAAAGAGAAAACAAAGGAAGAAGAGAAACAAAACAGTTAAAAAAATATATGTATAACAACAGTTGTGTCTATATTAATAAAGATATGCTTTATTCACAATGAGTTTTCTGTCAAACTCACTGGGGCTCTTCCCACCACCCAAAAACTGCCCCCCTACCAGGCAATATTGAGTGACTCACGTCAAGGAGGTTTCAAACTACGTTATACACGGTGTATGCCTTTGGCCTTCCATAAATGCTCATATGTTGAGGAGTCCGTGCAAGTTTAACCCACATTCTTTGATCTCAATGGGGAGAGATGTGTCACATACGGTGTCGCAAACAAAAAAAAAATACTCAAAGTGTCATTACAATGTAAACGTTTGTTTGACTAGAAGTTCAAAAAGTTTGCAAGATTTTCCAAAGTCTAAATTGTGTGTGTCTATCATGTTTTCACAACTATTCCAGAGTTTCCAGCTTGACATGCAATGAGCACAGAAAGGCATTGTGTCTCAGACTTCATACTGCATTTCTGCAGATACCCTTCAAGGGATGTTGTTTTAAACACAGTTTTTTGTTTTGCTTTTTAATCATAGTATGGGTTCTGATTGTAAAGGACCAGTGACCAGAAACCAGCCATGGACTGCATTTTTAACCTGGCGAGTCTCATCAGCATTACATTGGTTCTCATCTGAAAGTTGCACTCCGAGTATATAGCTAAATTCTAAAAAGATATAATAAAACTAACCACAGTGTTATTAGTTACTAACTGAAAAATGATTGACACATACGAGTTAGAATACAAATTCTAATTTATGTACATATACACATACAGACACACCTTACCATTTTGAATAATTTTTTTCAAAAGGGTCTTTGGAGTAATTGTGTCCAAGTCATCTACATTAGGATAGATTTTGTCTTTATTATGTGTTCGTTTGATTCTTGACAAACTTTTCCTAGTTGAACCACCTGATGCCTGAACAAGAGACATGTTATTACAAGATGGTGACATTTCATTCAAACAATGAGCAACATTTCAAGGAATATTTACGTCGTGTTAATGTTTTGTCTTAATTTACTGTTATGAATTTTTTTAAAATAATATAATGTAGGTGAGCAGATGGAATGAAATTTGCAACATACCATTGTGCCAACTCTTGCTTTCAATTTGCTACGTAAAGTCATTGCTGGTGATGCATTGCTGCTATTTTTATTTCGATTTCTAGTTGTGGCAGGAGAAGGGAAGCTGTCAAATCCAACAACACTGGAAAGATGAATGCACAATTAGAGGAAGGTTCCCAGAAACAAAATACTGCTTACATCCTAATTCTGCACACACAGTCCAAGAAAATAAGCATTTACATAAAGTCCAGTCAGTCATACAGACTATGAAATGTACCAGAATAGTAATAAATTAAGAACAAAATGTTGTTAGTCTATTATGTGGTTAACAATTTGACAAAAACAGTAAGCTGTTCATAAACCCAACGATATATACCCTGCCCATCTCAATAATATGAGTCGCCTGGATTAACAAGCTCCACTTCAGATGCTAGAGATACAGGGAAATCTGATGACAAGTGGCCTACTGAAAACAAGCCACGCCATGCATGTGCCATGAGGTGGAAGAAATACCCACACCCATATTTACAGAGTGTTGTCAATCTGAATCTTTGCCCCAAGATGGTACAGTCACAGATATAAGAAAGATGATCATAGAAAAGCAAGTAGTCCTTGACCACTGGGCAAGACTACCAAAGATCACTGGAAAACTGCCCCCATTCAGTATATGCAAGATTATGTTATTGAGGCACTGTTCACAATCCCAATAAACACAGACCAACAAGCTCAACAAGATGGAAAGATCAAAGTTAGGTCATGCCTACTGAGGGTATGCCAATACCAGAGGCACTGGAAACAGCTAAGCAAACGCTGACTGCACTGGCAACCAGACTGAGCAGATACACCAAAGAAGCAGTTGCTAAAAGAATAAATGCCCTGCTTCCCAAAGAACCATCCCAGGTACACGGGCGTCCCCAGGGGAGGGAGAAGCCCCCCGCCCTACCCCCTCTCCCCTCTCCTCCCCTGGATTTTTCAACTTATTCTGCTATTTTTCGTGTGAGATTGAAAATACAATGCAGTACCAGCACCGGCCAGTAGGTGGCGCTGTGTATGGAGAGACAGGGATAGGAAGCTATATCTTGTCCCTGCTTCTCTCTCCTGACTGAATCCGCAGGGGAGCAGCACAGAGTGCAGCCAGCAACTCGATTAGCAACTAGATCAGGGACATGGGGCATGGGGGGGAGGGGCAGCCTATAGATCAGGGACGTGAGGCATGGGGGGGGGAAGAGACAGCCTATAGATCAGGTAAGTGAAGAATGGGGGGGGGAGACAGCCTATAGATCAGGTAAGTGAGAGATGGGGGATACACCTACAGATCAGGTAAGCGAGGGTTGGGGGAGAGGCAGCCTATAGATCAGGTAAGTGAGGGATGTGGGAGACAGCCTACAGGAAGGGTCAGCAAGGAGCAGGAAGGTAAAGTAAGAGAAGAAACAGAAATGAGCAGGAAGGGGCAGCAAGGGATCAGAAAGAGAAAGGAGCAGAAGGGCACAAAATAAGCAGAAAGGTAAAGGAACAGAAGAAGCCAAGGAGGAGAGAAGACAGTGTAAGAAGAAAAAGAAGACTGTCAAATGAAGGCAAAGAAAAGGAGATTGGAGCAGGAAAGACAAGTGAAGTGAACCCCCCCACTTTATTCTGGACACCACATTATAACGTTTTGATACCTGGGCCTGGCAGGGAAATTTTGGACCTTCTCATCTCCCCAGGTAAATAAAAATATAAGTGTTTATGTGTTCACTTTTATTTACTGAGTGTCAGGAAGTACAGAGTGCTGCTGGGTAGGGGTGTCGCTGATTGGCTAAAGTGGTCAGCTGGCACTCTAAGCCAATCAGTAGCTCCTCATTTATAAAAAAGTTTTTAAAAAATTTATGTAACAGGAACTAGCGATTAGCTTAGAGTGTCAACTGACCACTCTAGCCAATCTGCATCACTCATGCCTGACATCAATCTGCAGTTCCTGACACTCCGTTTCAGAAGCCGAATACCACTGAGCGACCTGGAGATCTGGAGTTGGAGGAAGCCTTTGGGGTTAAACCATTTGAGATCGGTTTAACCCCTTAAAGGAAAGAGCACTCTGGGGCTTCCTGGCATCATAGCATTTTCATTTAGATGAAGTTGACCAGAATGTTCCTTTAATTTGCTTAAAGGAACACTATAGTGTCAGGAATACAAACATGTATTCCTGACACCATAGTTGTGAAAACACTATTCACCCTGGCTTTATGTGATAATGACTATGCCCCTTACCTTTCATGACACTGTCAAAAAGGGACCAAGCATGGATCTCATTAGAATTATGCCACCCCCACATCCTCCCCCGGGGGCACAGCTGCAGGGTAACCGCAACATTTCCACCTAAGTTCCATACAGAGCAGAGAAGGAACAGTACTAGAAGAACATTTGGGAGAAATAAGCATCACATAACACCAAGGCGCCATGGCTACTAGACTGAAAAGCAAACCACTGCATGCTTCCAAAACAGGCGCTGGTCACCATCGCAGTGGGAGTTATCCAGCAGCAACAAACCCACCATAAAAGAGTTGGTCAGTCCAGGACCTGATAATGGACCTGACATGACACCTACTGGATAAGGCAATTAACAACGCTGCAGGGTTGTAGTTTAAAGTGGATCTCCTGGTATCTGGAGCTCACCGAGCTCTTGTGTTGAAGTGGGAGTATTTTTTCCCCATTGATCATTGGTGAAGATCTGGGTCGTCAGTTCCTCCCAATTCCTCTTTAATGCATAATTTTGCATCCGGTCTCCTATCAGTCTCTGGTAGAGTGTGGATATTCTGCACTCCGCATTCACGGTTTCCAAGCAAAGGTAATTCTCGCAAGCCCTTCAAACCTGAGCACTGTTCGTAAGGGGATATACCCATCCTGAGCCACCAAAGGCCATAGAGATGATGGGATTCCTCCTCCTAGTTCGGTGTTATTCGTCAGTGGGATCAGGGGGCTCGGTTTTGGGGATAGGCTTCTTTCCATATGCGGTCCAGATCTTCAGTGTACATCCAATGGGGGAGTCGCTGCCCATATTGGTTATAACCTCAGATGCGTTTTACCATATGAGAGCATGAGATCCTGGACCCATCTGGTGTGGCCCATTTATGGGATGGTGCCACATGCCATTCCCTGATTCTCTGGAAAACCATTGCATGGTAATATTTTTGAAAGTCTGGTAATGCAAGGCCTCCCCTTGTTTGTGGACGGCAGAGTTTATCATGGCTTACTCTCGCTTTCTCCCCTTTCCAAACATATCTGAGCACGGTCGCTCGTTGTGTTAGATTCCAGTGCGGTAGATTCCAAGGTATAGTGCTAAAAAAGGTATAAAAGTCTCAAGAAGACATTCATTTTTAATACCGCTATACGGCCCTGCCATGAGATGTGGTTGTAGTTCCCTTTTTCAAGATCCTCTGTAATATTGTTGAGAAGAAAAAGGAAGTTTTGATTATAGATCTCCACTGGTTTGATTGGTACCCAAGATAACGCATTTGATCTGCGAACCAGTGAAAGGGGTATCGTTTGAGTCGTGTATAGTCAGTAATCAGGATATTTCCGTTCAATATCTCACATTTAGTAAGATTCAGCTTAAATCTAGACAAATCGACCATACACAGAATTCGTCAACTAGTTTTCGATTAAAAACAGCATGTCGTATACATTTGCGGCGACTGTGTTCTTGGGTTACATAGAAACATAGAATGTGACGGCAGATAAGAACCATTCGGCCCATCTAGTCTGCCCAATTTTGTAAATACTTTCATTAGTCCCTAGTCTTATCTTATAGTTAGGATAGCCTTATGCCTATCCCACGCATGCTTAAACTCCTTTACTGTGTTAACCTCTACCACTTCAGCTGGAAGGCTATTCCATGCATCCACTACCCTCTCAGTAAAGTAATACTTCCTGATAGTCTTAAATTAGAGGGACAATGGTTTAAAAATATGTCCTCTTGTTAAGGTAAATAAAATGTTGGAGGTGTGTCTACAACTCACACAGAAAAAGTGAGAGTGAGGCACCCCCAAAGGTCAGGCTGGTGGTTACAGATCCACCAAAAGGGCTTGTACCCAGGATAAAGTATTGAAGAAAAAGTATATTAGAGACTCAACAAAAGAGACTCTAGACTGATTTTAAATATAATATAGGGAAAGTACTAGTAACATTGAATGACTAGAGAACCAGCACTGAAGTACTTAGAGAGAAAAAAATTAATTATCCATAAGTATATAGTATATATTGAATAGATATTCCAAAGATGCCCACAAAAATGAAACAATTAAAGATACTTTATTATAATTCTAATGATAAAAAGAAGGGGCAAAAAAAATGGAATAAAATCAGACCTAAAAAGTTAACAATACTATATATCACATGAATCTACAAGGGGAGAAACCAAATTTTTCAATAAGGATATAATAGCTAGTCCCCAGAGAAGAAAAAAAATGGTAGTTAATCAAAAGATAAGTAAACAGGGAATAATAAGTACAGAGGTAATAATTACCCTAATACTCCAAAATGAAACACCTTCAGGTATATTCTATGCTGTCCCTCAGCCTATATTATAATGAGAAAAGGAGGAACCACAGTAAATGGGTACTGAGCAGAACAGCATATAGAAGAGAATAGTAGATAAAAAATTGATAGTCCCTGAAGGCTCCTAAAAATCAACACCTTCAAGAGTGTTCTATGCTATCACTATAGAGAAACCCTCAGTGGGTAAATGTTGAACAATGCAGCATAGGAAAGGAGAGTTGTAAATAGAGAATAAAATCCCTGAAAACTCCTAAAAACACCTTTGAGGGTGTTCTATGCTATCCCTATATATAGAGACCCTCAGTAAATCAATAATAAACCGAGCAGCATAAAAAAAGGAAGGTTATGAATAAGGAGTATTTTCCCTGCAAACTCTTAGAGACAAACACCTTCAAGAGTGTTCTATGCTAACCCTATACAGGAGCAAGTAAATACACTGTCTCTATCTGTCTCCCCTTGGATTCAATCAGTGCTGAGACAAAACTTAAAATAAATAAAAAATCAAACACCTAGTGCTACCATTGTGAAAAGAAAATAAAGTTAAACCCATTTACTGTGGTTCCTCCTTTTCTCATTATAATATAGGCTGAGGGACAGCATAGAATATACCTGAAGGTGTTTCATTTTGGAGTATTAGGGTAATTATTACCTCTGTACTTATTATTCCCTGTTTACTTATCTTTTGATTAACTACCATTTTTTTCTTCTCTGGGGACTAGCTATTATATCCTTATTGAAAAATTTGGTTTCTCCCCTTGTAGATTCATGTGATATATAGTATTGTTAACTTTTTAGGTCTGATTTTATTCCATTTTTTGCCCCTTCTTTTTATCATTAGAATTATAATAAAGTATCTTTAATTGTTTCATTTTTGGGGCATCTTTGGAATATCTATTCAATATATACTATATACTTATGGATAATTTTTTTCTCTCTAAGTACTTCAGTGCTGGTTTCTCTAGTCATTCAATGTTACTAGTACTTTCCCTATATTATATTTAAAATCAGTCTAGAGTCTCTTTTGTTGAGTCTCTAATATACTTTTTCTTCTATGTCCTCTTGTTGTTCTTGTTGGGTTCTGTGCCTAAATCCCATGATGGATGTTTTTTTTCCTAATTTTATTCAGAAATGGCTCCAAAGTTAGAGCAAATAGTAGCGGCAATAGTGGGCAGCCTTGCCTGGTGCCGTTGCATATGTCGATACGGTCTGTGAGTGTTTCGTTGCCTCTAATCCGTGCGCTCGGGTTAGTGTAGAGAGTTGCGATCCATTTGAGCATTCTGTTGCAGATTCCAGTTTTGGCGCGCGTCGTCACCATAAAGTGCCAATCCACTCGGTCAAATGCCTTTTCAGCGTTTGTGGGAAGCAGAAGTAGTCCCCTGCCTTCTATTCTCGCTAGGAGTTGTATCAAGAACATTCGAATGACTCGGATATTGTAGAGTTTTTCATAGAATGTACGAAACTCGCGAGCCATTTCCTCTGGAAACTGCGTTAAGTTGCCTCGTGATGTATGTAATGCATGTACCTAAGCTTGTTTTTTCTGGCCTCTTAGCATGTGTGCCAGTAATTATCTGCCCTTATTCGCGTGCAAGTAGAAAAGGGCTTTGGAGTGTTTTGGTGATATTTACGTTATAGTAGTTCCGCCAGCATTAATTCTCTATAATTACTCTCCTGCTGGCTTAGTTTGTGAAGGGATTCCAGCTTTGCAATTGTGGCGGTGAGCTCCTCAGTTAGGCCTCTAGGTTTTTTTTTCTGTGTAGCCAACCGGATAAAATGCCCTCTGAGGACACTTATGTGCTTCCCAGAGTGTAACGTGTGGCTTCCCCTCGGTTGTGCTCTCTGCAAAATACGGTTTGTGTTGCGTCACTTGGTCTGTTGTTGCGAGGTCAGAAAAAATTGACTCGCTGTGGGTGTAGGGCGGAACATTGGTGAGACCAGTGTTATCGTGGCAGAGTTATGGTCAGACCAGGGTGTTGAAACTATGTTTGTGTGCTGCAGATGTGTAAGGCCTCCTCCTGTATGAAGATGTAGTCAATGCGTGAGTGTATGCTGTAGCGCAGAGTAAAATGTATAGTACCTGCCTTCCAGGTGAAGGGCTCTCCACGTATCCACTAGTCGCAATTCTCGTAGGGATCGGCATTTGCTTCGGGGTATACTACTGTGTCCATTGGACGAATCCGATATAGGATCTAAAGGGACGTTCAAGTACCCTCCTAGTAAAAGGGTGCCCTCAGTGAAATTAGCGAGCCTCAGTAACGTTTTTCATATGAATTGAGCCTGTCCACTGCTCGGGACATATATTGAGGCGAGTGTGTAAGTTCTTTGGGACACTACACCTTTTACGAAGTGGTATCTGCCTTACGTGTCAGTCAGTGTTTCTGATAGTGAGAACTGTAGATTTGCTGCTAGAAGAATCGCCACTCCAAAGTTGCGAGCTGTATCGTGATTACTATAGTAGTTCATCGGGTAGAACTTATCCTTCAGCAGTTGGTTTGCTTAAGCTCGGAGGTGTGTTTCCTGTAATAGGGCTATGGAGATATGTTGACGCTTGAGGTCACGTAGTAGATGAGGGCGTTTCTCAGGGACGTTCAGCCCTCTGCAGTTTTGGGACATGATGCGGAAAGGTGCCGGTGTATAGGCCATGTGTAGAGTGGCAATGGTATATGCGATTCGGTCTAGTTAAGTTGATATGAACACTTCAGGATCCCAGTAATATGTGTTCAAGGAGCCGGCCCACGCCCCAAGGAAGGTGTAGGGGAGAATTAAGGTTAGAAGGAGAATAAGTTAGATAGCGGATTGCACGCCAACACCCCGCAGTTGTGTCCTTGCGGGCGGTAGGTGGGGAAGCCAAAATATGCAAAGAGGGGAGACAGTGGATACGTGGGAACTGATTAGACAAGCGTGAAAAGGGTACAAGGGGGGTGTCAGGGGATAGCACTCTCCTGTAGGGTGCCCCAGCAGCAGGCCTCCTGTAATACGAAGCGAGCGGGTCGCAAGGAGGAAGAAAAGGAGAGCTCTAAAGAGGTAAATGACCAGAGAATGATCGGTGAGGTGTGTTTGGAGGAGACCCTTCTCTCGGTCACTCTCCTCCAGAGGACACACCTGATAAATTAACAGTCTACTTGAGGTATTCCCGCGTAACCAGAGCTGTACCATTCGACGGTCGAGACCGGAGCGGCGACGATAGTGGCTCCCCCAGTTGTCTAGGTATATGCTGGGTCTGGTTGGGACAGAGGCCCGGGGTTCACGAGTGAAAAGATTCAAAAGGCGTACATATGGTATATGAAGTAGGTTAGAAGTGTAGTATTCAGATCTAAGAGAGCCTCGTTTCCCACTTACTAGTGTCTGTATATGTTGCACTAATCAGTTTAGTCCCTTTTGGGTTTTAAGAATTGTCAGGTCATTGGTCGATTGTGGCGTTAATTGCTAGGGGTCTGCTTGTCGAAGTTTCGAGAGGGGTATCATACTTATATCTGTCTGGAGGTACACGTTATCCATGTTTATGGGGAAGGTTAGTCGGATCTCAGAGGGTACGTCTGGGGTATTGAGCTAGGAATTGTCTGCGTCTACCTAGATTTTTAGTCTTTTTAGGACAATAGTGGTAACGGGGAAGGCAGACATCTGCTAGTCAGGGGATTTAGTGTCTCAACTATGAAGGGTGGTATCCAGTGAATGAGCTTAGCACATTGCAGGAAATTCAGAGCCTCTTCTGGCCACCGTAAAGGGATCCATTCATTCGGACATTAAATTGGATATTACGCTCTGGTAAAAGTGTCACCGGTCTCAAGGGTCTGCGTGCTTCAAGTATCAAGAGCGAAAGATCCTGGTAGAGTGCCCCGTGATATCTCCAGGTCGGTCTCGAGCGAGATTTAGACATAATGAGGTCTTTGACCCTGTGGTTGTATAGGCAACAAATTTTATTAGGTGGAGTTCCATCCGCAAAGCGCAGTCTGGTGGCTCTATGCGCTATGTCAAAATTGATGCAGTCTGGTTATTCTGGTCCAAGAATGTCCCGGAAGAGGGCCGTTAGAGTGGCTTCCACGTTTTCTTCCCTCGAGGGTTCAGGTAGGCCGCGTGTGCGGATATTGGATCTGCGGCTCCTGTTGTCTAATTCTTCAGCCTGTTTTCTCAGGTTCAATAGCATGGCGCCTTGTCGTGTCAAAGCTAGGTTGGATGCCTGAGATTGTGCTGTTACAGTTAGGTTGGCTGTTTTTAGGGCTTGGATGCGGGTGCAGTGTTCCGCAATATCGCTCCGCAACGTAGCTACCTCGGATCGCCACACAGATATTGTCTGAGAGGGTTGCTAGGTCTGCTTTAGTTACCATCGATCTCATGAGTGCCTTTATGTCCGCACTAATATCGGACAGGGAGGGTATGCCTGGGTCCAATACGGGTGAAGGGACCGGGGAGTCAGCCATATTGAGGCCTGTCGCCTTGCGGGATACACTCACAGGCGTTTGCAGGAATTCGTCCATGGGTCCTGCATGCGAGCTTCTATGGTTGCCCCACGTGGTCTGGTGGTTATCGAGCCGTTTTGTGTGCCCCATCAGTGGACCGTGCTACGAGGATAGTGCGCTATTAGAAGCTACGTGGGACGGAGCTCACAAGATAGGCAGCCATCTTCCTCGGAGTTCAAGCAACACCCCGTGGGGGAGAGAATTAACACAAAATATCTTTCCTGCCTGCAGAATTAGCAATATGCAAAAGTCATTGCTAAAAAAATTTGAAAGTTAAAAAAAAAAAAAAAGTGTTCATATGGTAAGAGTGACATGCTTTTTCAAATATTTTGTGGAAACATTTTACCTGGACACTGAACGACGTTTTACAGCTGAACGAGTTGGCTCACTTTCCAAAAATCTTTTTAGCAAAGACCGTGTAGTAACGTTTTCTTGAAAAATATCTGCCATTGTGTCAGCACTGTAAAGATATATTTAAAACACAATTAAAATCAAAAGGTAGACCTTTTTACCAGTTTGCATGAAATACTCATCAAATGTTAACTGAATGTTCTACACCAAGCATGTCAAACAGCATGCGGCCCAGGGCAGGACCCGCCTAATTCATAATCTTGATCACTGATTTAATTCTAATCACAACGTTTTCCCTCTACTAATATCAGTACTGATATTAGCAAAGGGAAATCTCAGTTAAAACAGAGTGGTATGTTACTGCCATCTACTGGCTATTTTCAGTATGACACATTCCTATCTTTTTCATTAAATATAGCATGCCCAATGCATTGAGTTTGGTGTTGGGCAACTGACAAAGTCAAGCATTGATCAAGATGCCATGAGAGTGTTGAGGGAGACCCTTCAAGGCCTGTTCAGACCTTGAGTGTCTCCCAATCACTTGATGCGGTGAGAGAATTGCTGTGGCTGAGCTCGAGCAGTGTTCCCTATGAATTTAAATGGCTATATGCGGAGGAGACTAAGCACCGCATGCAGCTTATCTGTCAGCTGGGACCACTAAAAATTGTCCCAGCTGCCAGAGGGAAACCCCAGGTATCTATTGAAGTATGAAGAAAACCCAGCACACTTGGAACCCATCATATAACATCAATGTGCACGTTATATAGAAATGTATTTGTATTTAAATAAGTATATATCCCCAATATCTATTTTAATGTTTTGTGGTTTTATTCCACTTTCAAATAGCATCTTCAAATCCAACCACTACAGTCTACTCTTTAGAAATGCCCTGGCTCTGTCCTACAGTCAGATATTAAACTGTTTTAGCAAAGCTTGACCACTTAGCTGGTCCAAAATGGCACCCACACCACATCCAGTCTTCTCAAACATGCCAGTTGTGCTTTAGCAAAATGTAGTAATGGGTTAAAGAAAATATCCGTTCACATGGTTTAGATGGTAAGAGTAATAACATTTGCAAATAAGCATCTGAACATGTATTCCATGTCTGCGAACTACCCCCTGGGTCACTTTACCCCACTTCCTCTAGAAGGTAAGCTCGTTTAAACAGAGCCCACAACATACTCTGTTCCTGTCCATTCAGCTAGTCTTGTTGCAAATACAAGTCTGTTAGTCCAGGGCGCGACAAATCCTAGACGCCAGGTCGCCATGGCGACTAGAAATTTAGCCCTGGCGTCTGAGATTTGTCAGCCTTTTACCTAAAGTAGCCGGCTGGGCAGACAATGGAGCCGGCCAGCTGCCCACCCGATCAAGAGCTGTATAGCCGGCCACCAGCACTAGGTATGGAGGCGGCAGCCTGGGGCAGTGTGTGAGGGAAAGTTTTAGCTGGCCACCCTGGGAGGTATAGAGGCGGCTGGCTCAGGAAGCTGTGTAACCGGCAACCCGCAGGAGCATAGAGGCGGCCAGCTCAGGGAGGTTTGTAGCTGGCCACCTGCCTACACTCAGAAGGAAGGGAGGTGGCAGGCTGGGGCAGGGTGCTAGGGAGCAGTCTTCCTGCAGCTCCCCTCTGCTCCATCGCGCTGTGTAATGAGGCCGTGAGCTGAAATATGACATCATTCCGGCCCTGGCATCACTGCAGACAGTGCGAGGGAGCAGAAAGGAGCTGCAGGAAGATCACTGTTCCCTCGCACCCAGGAATATAAGCCATACTGGAGCCAGGGAAAGTCCACTCAGCTCTCCCAAATGTGGGAGAAGGCAGTTGTGGTCATGACACCAAAGAAGGAACTTGTTTGGCCAGTAAGGAAAAATTACCAGCACCCGAGCCTCTTCTGATCTGATTTTCTGGATGACCCTTGGAATCAAGGATACTCGAGGAAAAACCTATGCCAGATCAAAATCCATCGTCATCCGGTCTAGAAAGTGGGGATGATCTTGGCTAGCCTTGCAATTTCTCCTCCTGGCCATCAGATCTACGTCTGGAGTTCCGAATCTTCTGATGAGAACTGAGAATAAGGCTGGATGAAGGGACCATTCCGCTCCAGACCATTTTGACCTGCTCAACTCGTCTACTACAAAGTTGTCCTTCCCCTTTGTGTGTGTAGCAGCCAAATCTTCCAGTTCCTTTTGCGCGCAACAAAATATTTCTGAACAAAGAAGATAAAGGCTTATTATCCTTGTTCCACCTGGTCTGTTCAAAACGGCCACTGATGTGCTGTTGTCTGATCGAATTCTTACAGCTGTGTGATATCCAAGTTTTGAAATGAAGAAGAGCATTGAAGACGGTTTTAAGTTCCCTGAAGTTTGAAGATTGGCGAGCGTCTTTCGCGGACCAGATTCCTCGGACACATGTGGAATTGGAATTCAGGCCCCCAACCATGTTGGGAGGCGTCTGTAGCAGCAATAAGCCATTCTTTTTGTTTGAAAGATAGACCTTTTGAAAGGCAGCTGGATATTTTCCACCAAACAAGTTGACTTCTGACTTCGGAAGAAAGCACAATTTCCAAATCTAGATCATCTTCCCTTTTTAACCACTACAGTAGAATTTCCCATTGAAGGGTCTTATGGCTGCTCTTGACCATCTTACTGCCAGAATGGACAATGTTAATATCCCCAGGACACTCTTCGAATTGAACAGCTTGGTTCTCTTTTTAATTTCCTTTCTGGAGTAAGGTGTAATGAAAGAGTCCTTGAGTCTATGATGAATCCCAGAAATTGAGCTTCTGTAGCGGGATGATAAGACTTTTTTCGATTGATCACCCAACTGTGATGTTCTAAGACATCTATAGTAGCCTTGATGTGAAGCTTCAGGAGCTCTTTTGACTTGGCCATTAGAAGCCAATTGTCCAGATATAGAACGATAGCAATACCTTTTATTATTAACGTTGCAGTAATGGGAGTGAGGATCTTCATGAAAATTCTTGGAGCTGAAGTTAGAACAAAGGGCAGTGCTTTGAATTAAAAATTGAGAGGTTTCCCTCTTATTTTTATGACGACTCTTGAGAATTTTTTTTGACGCTTGTGCCACAGGATAGCCATTAATTCCCATTTCTGTATGATATGGGTAGCCGATAGAATGGATTCCATACGGAATGTTTGGTATGGGATGATCTTGTTCAAAGTCTTTAGATCCAGGATCGGCCTCAGGGATTGATCTGGTTTTGGAACTAGAGAGACGAGAATACACGCGATGAAATTCTTGGTTCTTTGGGACCTTCTCTATGACCCCTTTCTTCAAAAGAGATACTGCTGCTGCCAAAGAGACTGTTTTTTCTTTTGCTTGGTATAAAGAAATTGTGAGACTGTGCTTTGGCTTTTCTGTAAATCGGATTTTTTTAGCCATCTGCAATGATATTCATCACCCAAGGATGTTGTGTGCTTTGCTCCCTGCCTCTTACCATTCTGACCTCCTCTTTTTGTCTTGTCTACCGGTTTCATCCTCAAATCTGTATTCCTTCTGGAATTTACAAAATTTTCTGAATCGGTCTTGATATCCATAATTCTTGCGCGTGCGAAACTGGAAGTTCTTGTAACCCGGCTTCCAAGAAATCTTTCTATCCTGTGGAAGGGCCTTTTGTGTTTGACATTTGTCTGATAATCTCTTCCAGAGGAGACCAAAACATCTTTGATTTATCTAAAGGCAATTCTCAGAGGGAAGACTTGGAAGCCTTATCAGCAGACCAAGATCGTAGCCATAAGGCCCATAATGCGTGCTGCCAATTTCAGAATTCCTTCTGACATATCCATTAAAAACTAATTGGAGAACTTCAAGTTCTGCATAATATTTAATAAGCTTTAACAACAGAGGCCTCAGCTGAGGCTGCATTGCATTGAAAGCCAGCAGACTGGAAGGCTCTTCTACAAGATGCCTCAGCCCTTTTGTCCATCGGATTTTTAAGGCCGGAAACTTCACCAATTGGAATGGTTGTCGTTTTTGAACGTTGAGCTATCTGAATGTCTACAATTAGGTAGTTCTTCCCATTTATAATCACTTTGGATCTTGTAAAGATTTTTGAAATTCCTTGAAATAAAAGCTCCTTTCGGGATTTTTTTTCCATTCTCTGTACATCAAGTTGATTAGTTTCTCTTGAACAGGAAAACCTTTATCCTTATATATTTTTTAGGAAGATATTCACTTAAGATCAAAGATAGCTTGTTCATTTTAGCTCTTTTTTTTAGTTTCTTACTAGCTGTACCATGATAAGCTACTGAAATGCTTGATCTGGCTGTTTCTTTAAACGATTCAAAAGGTTTGAGCCAGATTACCTAGGAACCAAGAAAGAAAAGACTGCATGTCTCTCTGCTTGGATTTTCCAGATTATCCGCTGAACATAGATTACAGACCTTCTTCTTACACCCATCCGGTAGAGTAGAACATTCGCTACAGAATAAAATGTTTAGCCTTTGCAGTCACTTTCCTGGGTTCAGGTGCAGGATTCCTGTCCTTTTACATTTTATCCAGAGAAACAGAACAAAAATCAACTTTAAAAATCTGTTTAATTTTCAAGTTTGGATTTTAAAGTAGAGACAAATATCGCACCTCAAAAACCTCACAGTCGTGTGGGGGTGGACTAGTGACACGGTAGACCCAATCTGAACAGCATCCTGCTGATAGGATGGTCTAGCACAGCTTAAATAGCGCTTGTAGTTAAAATTTAGAGCCAAAACAATAAAGTTCCAACTGCGCATGCACAGTAGCACAGACGGAACTTCGGTGGAACGCAAGGCCTCGCGGAGTTCGTTCCACCGCTGTGCGCAGGCGCCCAGCCCGCAATGAGTGCGGCATGCCACCTTGACCGCCAAACAGGAAATGCCGGAACCATCCTCGGCATAAAAGGTGCTTACCGGACACAGCGTAAAAATTAATAGTTTGAAAAAAATTGTGATGACTGTCTCAAATGTGCCCCTTCTATGTCCACATATACCTGGCAAACATACATTCAGAGGTATTGCTGTACTCAGACGACATAGCTGAGAAACATATGAAGTATTATACAGTCGTAGCACGCATAAGGTTTGCAAAATATACTGTGCAAACTCACTTTGTGTGTCAAAAAGGCAGAAAAAAAAAAAAAACTTATTACCACTACACTAGCTAGTACAAGCTAGCGGAAAAATTATCCCGCACTAAGGTTCAAAATATGCCTTTTGAAATACCCTGGGATGTCTTCTTTAAGAAATGGTATGCATTTATGGTGTAGTTGGAATATGTAGCCTGCTCAAGTGCTCCAAAGTGGGACACTGCGCATCAAAACCCGCCATGAAAATTCACACTTAAAAACCTGAACTTGTCACGTCTCTTTTACAGCACTGTAACTTCACAAAATAGTGTCTAGGCCATGCATTGGGCATATTGTTTTACTCCGAAGGATGTAACGGAGTATAATTTGAGGATTTTTATGACAGTGGGACATATCAAGTGTAAGAAATACTCAGCAAAAATGCAACATATGTAAAAATGCCATTCCCTCCCCCCCCCCCCACCACCACAAACATTGACATAAATTGGTGAAAGTTAAAGGACCACTATAGGCACCCAGACCACTTCAGCTTAATGAAGTGGTCTGGGTGCCAGGTCCATCTAGGGTTAACCCTGCCTGCTGTAACATAGCAGTTTCAGAGAAACTGCTATGTTTACATATGGGTTAATCCAGCCTCTAGTGGCTGACTCATTGACAGCCGCTAGAGGCGCTTCCGACTGATTTTCACAGTGAGAAGACGCCAGCGTCCATAGGAAAGCATTGAGTAATGTTTTCCTATGGACTGACTGAATGCACGCACGGCTCTTGCCGCGCCTGCACATTCAGCCAATGACGTCGGAAGGAGGATGAGAGTCCCCAGCGCCGAGGGGTATGTGTTTAACCCCTTCCTCCCCCTAGAGCCCAGCGGGAGGGGGGGACCTATTAACACTATAGTGCCAGGAAAATGAGTTTGTTTTCCTGGCATTTTAGTGGTCCTTTAAGGCACAATATACACCATATAAGATACCCTGGGGTGTCTGCGTTATCAAATGAAAGCCCTTTGTGGGGTTATTTGAACAGTTACACTGCTATAATACCCTAAAATGACACAATGGCCCATCTATGAAAATTCTAACTATAGAAACTGAAATAGCCTTGTCTCTTATATGTCATTGAAGCTTTAAAGAAAAGTGCCAAAGGCATACAATGGGGGTATCGTTATACTCAGCAGATGTAGCTGAAAATAATATGGGGTTCGGTGCAGGAATAGCACACACCAGCTTTACGAAATACACATTACAAAAAGCTTGTTATATGTGTATATGCCAAAATAAATAAAAAATAAAAAAATTTACTCCAATATTTAGCAGAGATTGGTGATGAAATACGTAAAAAGTGTCAAACTAACCTTAGGTAAATAGCCTGTGATGTCTACTTTATATAAATATATACTTTTGTGTGGCAATTTTTTTTCTGTGATGGCTACTAAACCTACAAGACAAACATACCAACTTCTAAAATGATTGCAAATTGAAATTTTATTTTAGTCCTTGTATTTTGTGACCTGTAACTTTCAAAATAAGCTGAAATCCTATACATATGATGTACTCTATAAATCAAGACACAAATTAATTTATTTTGAATTACTTATACTAAGCTGGACATATTATGCACACGCTATTATTGCCAAAACCGTGAAAAAAAGGTTGGGCTTTTTTGGGGGCTTTTGTTTTTTATAATTAATGAAAATGTATCTATGTATTTGTGACATCAAATTAAAGCCCTGTTTGCCATGTAATAGAATATGTGTTGGTGCAATAAATGACAGATGCAAATTGCGTTTGAACACAAAATGCAAAAATGGCTAGTGTCCTTAATTGTAAGACAAGCTTCTGAAGCGGTGTCCTCAAGGGGTAAAATCAGCCATGTTTACCTATGTGCTATATTTCAATTAGCTACAAGATGGAAATAGTGACTAAACCTCAATGATGTCAAACTAGTCACCTGTGTGTCTGGAGCAGCTGAGCAAAAAAACAAATACAAGCTGCACTCAGAATCTGACAGCATAAACCAGAATCGGACACTTTCTTACATTATAGACAGCTATGTACTAAACCAGCAACGCATCTTACCAACACAGCTCCCACTAACTCACCCTCACTCAGCTCCAACACAGCTCCCACTAACTCACCCTCACTCAGCTCCAACACAGCTCCCACTAACTCACCCTCATCAGCTCCAACGACTCACCCTCACCCAGCTCCAACACAGCTCCCACTAACTCACCCTCACTCAGTTCCAACACAGCTCCCACTAACTCACCCTCACTCAGCTCCCACTAACTCACCCTCACTCAGCTCCAACTCAGCTCCCACTAACTCACCCTCTCTCAGCTCCAACTCCGGCTCACTAACTCACCCCTCACTCCCAGCTGCTAACTCCCCTCACTCAGAGCTCCCAGCACAGCACCACGCTAACTCACCCCTCACTCCAGAAGCTCCAGCTTACAGCACCACTAACTCCACCCTCCCGCCACGAGCTCCAACACGAGCCCACTAACTCACTCACTCAGCTCAACACAGGCTCCCACTAACTCACCCCTCCTCCAGCACACCACTAACTCCACCCTCACGCTCCGAGGCTCCCAGCACGGCGCCACTGCTCACCCTCACTCTCAGAAAGCTCCAACACAAGCGCCCACTAACTCACCCTCACTCGAGAAAGCTCAACACCAGTAGCCCACTAACTCACCCTCACTCAGCTCCAACACAGGCGCCCACTAACTCACCCTCACTCCCAGCTCCAACACAGCAGCCCACTAACTCACCCTCACTCCAGCTCCAACACAAAAACCCCACTAACTCACCCTCACTCAGCTCCAACACAGCTCCCACTAACTCACCCTCACTCAGCTCCAACACAGCGCCCACTAACTCACCCCCACTCAGCTCCAACACAACACCACTAACTCACCCTCACTCAGCTCCAACACAGCTCCCACTAACTCACCCTCACTCAGCTCCAACACAGCGCCCACTAACTCACCCCCACTCAGCTCCAACACACCACCACTAACTCACCCTCACTCAGCTCCAACACAGCGCCCACTAACTCACCCTCACTCAGCTCCAACACAGCTCCCACTAACTCACCCTCACTCAGCTCCAACACAGCACCACTAACTCACCCTCACTCAGCTCCAACTCAGCTCCCACTAACTCACCCTCTCTCAGCTCCAACTCAGCTCCCACTGTTTCCAAACAATCCCGCGGTAACCAATCTCGCGGTAACTCCCAGGGCGCACACTCTAAGCATTTCGGGGGAGAGGGCAGGCCTCGCTGCTGAAGCCACGCCCGATCTTCCAGAGGAAGTCAGATGCATTCTGGAATGTGTAGTTTCCGCTGCCCGCTTTCGGTGTCGAGCATCTCGCAGCTGCCGATTTAATAAAACATCCCGGGGGCCGTCATGCCCGGCTTCACGTGCTGCGTCCCGGGCTGCTATAGTAACTCGCACCGGGACAAAGGCCTGCACTTCTACACGTTCCCGAAGGATGTGGAGCTCCGGCGGCAGTGGCTGAAGAATGTGTCGAGGGCCGGTGTGACGGGCTGCTTCAACACCTTCCAGCCCACCAACGGGCACCGGGTGTGCAGCCTGCACTTCCAGGGAGGCCGCAAGTCGTACAGCATCAAGATCCCCACCATCTTCCCCCTGCGGGGAGTCAACGAGAGGAAGGTCCGCAGGAACAACGCGGGGGACCGGGGCAAGAAGAGGCAGCAGCCGCAGCCCCACTACTCGTCCGCCGCCACCACCGTGCTGGTGACAGGACTGCCCGGCCAGGAGGAGCAGGAGGTGCTGGAGCTGACAGCCGGCAATGCCGAGATGGTCTTACTGGGAGCCACGGCCGGCATGGGGGCCACCATGGCCGGAGTCAGCGCTTCGGCAGCCGTGATGGGCAGTGCCATGGAAGCCATGGGAGCAGCGGCTGGAGGGGGACCGGTGGCTGCCGAACCGAACCCAGGGAACCTCACGGTCAAGCTGGATGCAGGAGGAGGACTAGCCAGCCACTTCTCGTCTCCAGGTAGCCACGGGACACACCAGGGCATCCAGGTGGTGGTGGTGGGCGAGGAGACCTACCCCATCCCAGACTGCTGCCCCTCTCCTCTATTCACGGACCATTCTTACTCCATGTCTTCCGGCACCACTACCGAGGAGCTGCTGAGGAAGCTCAACGAGCAGAGGGACATCATAGCCCTGATGGAGGTGAAGATGAAGGAGATGAAGTCCAGCATCAGGCACCTGAGGATCACCGAGGTGAAGCTGAGGGAGGAAATTCGCCAGAAGGACAAAGTGCTGTCAATGGCAGGGGCAAAGAAAAAAGAAGGGCATTTATAGACTCTCAATGGATTGAGCTAGATTGCTGAAAACACAGTTTCATTCAGTTGAAAATAAACTATTTGTTCTTCGTCTGTTTGATTGGCTTTGCTAATGGACATAGTGTTAATTTCCTACCATAACAACAACAACAACTACAAAAAACAAAAAAGAACTTGCTAGTGACTTTTTGAAGACACTGTTACATTACTCCAAGGAAACCACCCTTGTATGGCAATTACAATTAATGCATTTACAAAAAGACTACCTACCTATAAGTTACCTGTTAAGCCAACTTTTTTTATTTCTATTTGGGGAGGTGGGACTTGTAGTGTGTTTATGACGTAGAATTTAGGAGGAAAATGTGTACCTGTAGTATTTTGGAAAAGACTGAACAAGAAGATGATGCTACTTCTTACTCATCTGATGATTTTGAGTATCTAATAATGGAAAATTGAGAAAACGAATACATTAGAGGTCATTTAGTTTTTGCTAGTGTGTGTGTGTGTGTCTGTGTGCGCGGGTGTATATATGTACATACATGAAAGTTTTCGTTTGTTAAAAAAAAAAAAAGTATGTGCTTCTTTAAACATATAGGAAAACTACATTTTTCTGTCCACTTATACTTATTACTTATTTGAAGAGAGAATAATTTAGCTGAAGCAAGGGCAGTTGCTGGAATAAACATCATACCCTGTACTACATTTACAACTGTATAGCCTTTACTTTCTAACACAATTAATAAAGGATTGCATGTCACAAATGTACATTTGTCTACACACTATAAATAATTAGGATCGTTAATTGCTATGTCATTATCACGCACCTCATACTCTGGTAAAGTTGGCAAACGAAAGCAGGGATATTTACTAATACAGGAATTGAACAGTGAATTACATTCTCAACCTGAATTTTTCAATTTTTTGCCTGCATTTGCAAATCATAGGGCAATTGCTAGTTTAGGAATTGTTGCTATTTAGTAGGCATTCTTTGCCTCCTACCCAAGTTTTCTTTATTATTCATTGGAAAATGTTGCATTCCGTGTTAAATTCCTGGTTTAGTAAATAACACACCTTTAGTTTTCTTTTGGCAACTAGTGTGTGAGTGACACACATCCATCCCTAGCCCAAATATTTTCTTGACAGGCATAATATTAGTGGATAAAGGAGGAGCATTTTCAACCCAACTAGCAAATATGAATGAGAAAGATCAGTAAACCAGGAAGGAATGGTGTCTGTACTGTTTTTCTTTTTAGTTACCTGGAATGGAGTTGTACCTTGTTCACTTTGGTAGGTGGTGTTTTTTTAATGTATTATTACCCTGTAATCTATGAAGATGTTTCTTTTTGATCAGTAGAAACTGATTGGCCTATATTTTTCCTTAAGTTGGTTGGCTTTTCCAGACTTACGGGTGTAGCCAACATTTTGGAATGTCCTTGAAGTGCACACTACAAGGCAATAAAAAGAGACACTTGGAACACAGTATCTCCCCAATCCCATCTGTGATCCCAACCCATTTTAATGGCTTCCTGTTTTCAACCTTTTCCATCAACTCTACATGGACACATACATCATGCACCCAAAAAACTAAATCAGTTCAACATACTTCAACAGTTGGTAAAGAGTAGGAAAATCTGATGTAGCTTAACACACATAATTAATGATGATAAAAATTGTCTTCCCTTTGCCTCTTTACCAGATACAAAGCCACTGGTAAAAAAAAAAAAAATATGGTATAGTGCATGTTTCTACATTTAAATACAACACCCCAAAATGGTAACTGAAAAACAACATTAACCCCTTAAGGACCAAACTTCTGGAATAAAAGGGAATCATGACATGTCATGTGTCCTTAAGAGTTTAAGGACACATGACGTGTGGAATGTCATGATAACATTTTATTCCAGAAGTTTGGTCCTTAAGGGGTTAAGGAGTGAAAACGTTATGATTATGTGACTTCCTTTATTCCATTGCCTCCAAACTTGTTCTAAGCAATACTGGAGAAAGTTTAATTCTACACCACACTAACTCTATTCTTAAAGTATATTGCACTCTGGCAGCTTGTCTTTCTCCTTGCCAATGCAAAGTTCTTCAACTTCCCCATAAACACACTTTCTTAGGATCCCATACTATCAATACATCTAATTGCCATTCACCTTCTACTAACCTGATCAATCTTTGTTGCTCACTTCACAGAGAAGACTACTGCACTCAGACAAGAGGACTCAATAATATCTCCTTTGCCAACATATACTCCCTCCGCCCAATCACCTAGCCTGTTTAAGTTTTTCTTACCCACTAACAAATAATGTATTATTTGTTATGTCCTCTTCCCCCACCATTTGTCCTGATGACTCTTCTCTCAAATCTGTTTGCTTTCTGTCCTCCTTTCTTGATTTGCCTTTTCCTAAAATACACAATCTCTCTCTGCTCTGGTGTCTTTCTAGTTTTCATTCAAGCCTCTAACCATAACTTACATCCTAAAAATCTTAACTCCCCATATAAATACTGATCAATTTTCCAATCATTCACTTTCAAACTTTTTGAGAGCTTGACTGATTAAGTCAAATCAAGCTATTTAGAAACATAGAATGTGACAGCAGATAAGAACCATTTGGCCTATCTAGCCTGCCCAATTTTCTAAATACTTTCATTAGTCCTTAGCCTTATCATAAGTCTAATATACCCTTATGCCTATCCCGTGCATGCTTAAACCCCCTCACTGCGTTAACCTCTACCATTTCAGCTGGAAGGCTATTTTATGCGTCCTCTGTAAAGCAATACTTCTTGATATTATTTTTAAACCTTTCCCCCTCTAATTTAAGACTATGTCCTCTTGTTGTGGTAGTTTTTCTTCTTTTAAATATAGTCTCCTCCTTTACTGTGTTGATTCCCTTTATATATTTAAATGTTTCTATCATATCCCCCCTGTCTCGTCTTTCCTCCAAGCTATACATGTTAAGATCCTTTAATCTTTCCTGGTAAGTTTTATCCTGCAATCCATGAACCAGTTTAGCAGCCCTTCTCCGAATTCTCTCTAAAGTATCAATATCCTTCTGAAGATACGGTCTCCAGTACTGCGTACAATACTCCAAGTGAGGTCTCACCAGTGTTCTGTACAATGGCATGAGCATTTCCCTCTTTCTACTGCTAATACCTCTCCCTATACAACCAAGCATTCTGCTAGCATTTCCTGCTGCTCTATTACATTGTCTGCCTACCTTTATGTCATCTGAAACAAGGTTAGTATTGTAAGATTTGGATTATATTGTGCTGACCAAGGTGACTAATAACTTAATTGCTGAATTCTTCATGACCTCTATGCTGATTTCAACACTGTCAATCAATATCCTCTCACCCTTTATAAGTCTGTGATATATTACTTTCATGGTTCTTGTACATTTCCCAGTGTTCTTTCAGGGTTTCATTCTTGGTATATCATCTCTACAGCCCTTTTTTGTCTGGTTTGCACAAGGTTTTGTTCTCAATTTATGTTGCCTATTTCTTTGGTTTCCAGTATTGCTTTTATGCTAATAACCCTCAAGTCCTTCTTGTATTATGTCTTCAGCTGCCTTTCTGCCGTTTTCTAACTGGGTAACAGCTCACTTTCTTAAATGTCTCTCTAAAACAGAGCTTATTATTTACTTCATTCAAGAACTACTACTCTTATATCAGTCTGTTTCCAAGTCAATGGCACTATTATCTTGTCTACTCAACAGAGTTTCTGCCTTGGAATTCTCTTCGCTTAAAACCTCTTTCACTTCTTACATCAAGTCAATCACCAAATCCTGCTGGTTCAAAAATTCAGTTTGCATGCACCCGCCCCTATTAGCAGCATGTACAGTTAAGATAGTTACCCATGACACAATCCTCTCTTGCATCAGTTTCTGTAACCTGCTTCTCACTGGTTCTACTCATTCTAGCTCAACCCATTACAATCTATAACGAACACTGCAGCCAAGCTCACGTACCTAAACAATAGACAAGCCAAGAAGAGTCAAAATACCAAATGAGCAGAGAATACAAGAACGCACTATTGAGCCGACAAAAAAAAACACAAAAAGGCAATTATGACTGGGACAGTATAAATAACTAGGAATTGTTTTCTATTGGAGAACATCATTTTAGATATCTAAATGAATTTTGGGAGGAAAAAACGATGTATTCCCGATCTGTGATGTAATCGGAACACTCAGATTCAGCGAATGCGACCTGTGGTGGAACTTACCACATATTTAGTGTGTTTTCCCCTCATTTCGTCTGTTTTACCCTTTTTCCACCTGGGAGTACTTAATACTAGGGATGTGCATGGGCAAAAAATTCAGTTTGGTTCGGAACTTCCGAAATTCAGGACTTCATCACTTTGGTTCTGCCCTTTGGCAATTCCCTAACCTTAACCCTAACCCTACTAGGGTTAGATTCCTGGCATCATTCCCTTAATTTTCCCTGCCTCTCCTATTTTGCCACTTTTCAGAAATCCGAAGTACTTTAGCACTTCAGAAATTCGGCAGTTCAGTTCGGTCAGAATTGCTGAAATTTGTCCAAATTTACATTTGGATCGAAATGAATTGCACATGTCTACTTCATACGAACCCTATCCATTCGTCTCCCAAACGAGGACCACCCCTGTACCCCATTAGAACATTCACACCAGCAACTTAAGTGCGAAACCGCAAGGGAAGTAATTAATTAATGCTACCCCTGGGTGGCTACTATTTCATATAACTGAACGCACTTGGTCGACAAAAGAATGGAGGTCATCTTGTCTCCCAAACGTGGGCAGCGAATGCCTGGAACTCTTTTCGGCGAGGCACTCGCACGAACCCCGTTAAAGATTAGACTGCTCCCCATTCTATTTCCCGATCACCTATACGAACAATGTTTGGGAGATATGAACTACCAAACAGGGGGAGCATTCGTATCCTGAAATGAAGAGATTCCCTTGCATGATGTTCGCACAGGAACCCACCGAACAGAGAGCGGCCAGGACACCTATTTCCCTGGAACTGTTTTGGGCTTGCACCTCGTGTCTTGACGGTCAAAACTTTACCTCAATGGCATTCTTGTTTCTTCGAACTTATCTGAGTGATCTTTGGATATGTTATACACTCAGATCGAAGCTATCCAGGGATGTTCTTTTTGTGGTGTTCCTGAGTATGGTGGGGACACTTTTGGGGTACTGTATATTTTGTATGAATTTTCTGAACCTGAGAGATAATTGGATTATAGCTTTTTCTCGTGCAATTATCTCTCGGGCACAGAAGATCCTGGGATTGAAAACCCTGTATTTGTGTGTTGCAAACCTCATGTAGGGGTCTGGGCATAAAAGCCGTGTGTGGCCTGAATAAAATCAGTTGACTCCTAGGACTATGTTTCGTCTGGTTACTGGGGAATGGATGTCTGCTTATTTTAATGGTTCCAGAGTTGCTGATTGAAGGAATTAGCACAGGTAACCAGTCAGGTAACCTGTGGTCCGCTACATCTAGTTGCAGTGGTGGGATGGTACTTCCTATCTGAACAGAACCAGCATTTGTTAACCGAACAAACAGTCGAACTGATTTATGAATTGCACAGCTTTAAAGAGAAAAACACTCAAGGAGTAGCTGGAAGCTCGAGGACAAGTTGCCAGTAACCGTTTCAAGGCTGACATCATTGCAGCACTCATGGAGAGTGATAGAATCAACAGTGATCTCGCTGTACCGGCGGTCAGCGAGATGGATTTCCAGAGAAGATGCGGATTCACCTGGCCTATTACTGAGGGAACCCATCATAGGAAATCATGGCCCGAACCATTTCCAAGGTACAGGCTTATCTGTTGGTGAAGGAAGACTGGGCGTCCCAGCTGCAATTGACCGAATGGCGAGCAGTGGAAGTGTCTCCAGCTGGTTTGGCAGTTCCTGAACAAAAACCCAAAGTTTCTTACAAC